TATATATATATATATATACTGTATTATTTTTATAGGAATATTCTAGACCTATTTTAAAGACTCAAGGAACAAATTTAGATGTAGGCCTACAGCCATCTCCTACTGTACTACTACTAGGCCGTAGCCTAGCCTAGACCTAGCTATGAAATCATTGCACGATTTTACCTGTCTGCGTGCACCGACTAAAAAGGGCGTCAGTGACTGTATTCTCTCTTGAATGCTGAAAATAGCATTACAAACAAGTTCTTTCTAACACAATACAAATTACGATAGTTATTCATCGTATCCGTACTGTACTGCTGATGTGTAGTTAATTAAACACGTACTGCAGGAGCAAAAATCAGCATACGCACAGGTAAAAATGTAAATACGCACATGTATACTGATCATATCACTATAGCAACCGATGACTGCTACAACAGTTGGTTACAAAAAATTAAAATTAAGACAGCAATTGACTATCAATTAGTAGAGCATGTATTGTACACTAAACATTCAAAAAATTTACTTCGGGCCTTGCAGGCCCTCTACTCAGGAAATTTTTTCAAGCATTACATCTAGCCTTCGTACTGTATAATAATTTTCCTATAGTGTACTATGCGGAGCTCTACTAATTGCTTATTATAGGGCCTTATACCATTAATGTTTCCTCGCAGTATTTCACTGTTTTTGTTTCTCAAGGCGCAATACTTAGTTTTGGTTGGTTTTCTTTACAGGTATGGTGCCTGTGATTTATGTACCCGCTGAGCATTTGCCCTTACATTGGGGTGAACAGCATGCCTAGCTGGTTTAGCTGACCACTGCTTTGATTGTTTCCTCCTTTATGTGTTTTGTTGAAATTTATAATAAAAAGAATATAATAATAATTTTTAAAAATAACTTAATTAAAATTAAAATTAATAAATACATATAATCATTGTTAAACGCTTTGGGGCTTTCATTAATGGATTGTAAGATGCTATATAAATCTAAATTATTATTATTAAATCACCAACTAAAGTAAAAAAAGCTTCCATTCTTAAAATATTTTCAAAAAGAAATTATTTATTTTACATTTAAAATTTTTGATAAATTAGCTACACAGTGGGCCTAAATAAAAGGTCATACACAGTACACAATAGAAACAAATCTCAAAAACCCTCTTTTAAATTACACTTAACCATTTGCTCCTTCACACAGCATCATTAACAGATACCAAGTATCATATTACACTCACTAGTCATACAAAATTATACTGTACTATACGCACAGGTTACTCTATACTGTACTGTAATCAAAAGAGCAATAGATTTTTGCTGGTAGTTGAAATAGTTTAACTTTTTACTTTAAAAAATATATCCAGTCTGCAACCTTTGAACTACTGTAGTAGTGGTCATGTGATACAATGCTGTAAAATATGAAGAAATGTTATGGTTTTAAAATGACAATATGCAAATAAAATGACTATTATTTCTTAACATATTCTCTGTGCATTTAATGATCTGGAATTTCCATAACCCTTTGTGAACCTAGAATCATGGAACTATTGTGTCCCACTCTAATGGGTGAGATTAGTGTCTCGATTGCAGTGCCAAAACCTGACCGCAAATGGAATACGGTAGTAAGTATAGAGTACTGCATTTAGGCTATTCTTGAATACCTCAGTATTTGGGGCCAGTATCTTTTTTGATAATTAGCAAAACATTTTGACAATGTTCCAAATGACTTTTGAGTAGGGTCTGTTTATTACCTGTATATTGTACAGTACTTAAGATCGTGTGAGATTGTCTCTCTTCACGTCCAGTACAGTATGTATAAATAAACAGATTGTAGGCCCCTAAAGTCTAATTAATTATTGACTATATGTAAATTTTAATGATTTCTCATCCTGTTTGGTCATGTGGAACAGTATTTAGGATCATGTGTCTTGAAATGTTTCAACTTTAATCAATGCTATTGGGACAGCTGGGACAGTCCCACACAATTTTTCTAATGTGTCCACAAAGAATAGGTCCACATTATTAAAAATAAGTCCAAATTATGTAATTTTATGCAATAAAATGGGTCCACTTTTTGAAAAATGGGTCCAGATTTTTCATATTTAGCCTAAAATGGGTAAAATTTAAGAAAATGGGTTAAGATTTTTCATATTTTTGCGTGGGTGTCCACATTGTTTTAATTTACGGGTCCACCTTGATATTGTCCTGCACTGTTGGAAATCCTTGCTACGGCATTAACTTTACTATGATAATTGAAAGAAATTGTAAAATAAAAATTATATTTATACAGTACCAAATAAAAAAATTTACAATTCAAAATCTCAAGTAAAGTTTTTTTTAGTTGAACTGAAAAGTTTGTTCTGGACTGTGGTGACCTTCACATGGTTCCCTATTCAACTCTATCTGCTGTTTTTTTTTTGTTTCAACTGCAGGGCTGAGTATGCTGAGTTTTACTACTGTAGTGCATTGTCTTTTGGAAGAAATGTTTAATCTGCTGCCCTGTGTGCAATATAGTTACGTGCACGTTAATGTACGCAGTACACTTTTGCAAAACAGTCGGCGATTGTTTCCAGTGTATAGTACTCCCCAATTCACCATCAAAAGAATCCCAGTTCAGACTTTTCTGCGTTATCCTAAATGTGTGTTTCACACTGAAAACATCCAGTTCAATCGAAAATTTGCAGTATTGTACCGTATGGCTAAACAGTAATCGATCCTATTTTAATTACGAATTTCCTACTGGTTGATTAACATTTTGGTATTTAAGTGCAATAGAAAAAATGAATAAAAGGGATGTTAAATCCAAGTGCATCTGTTTTGTGTGGGTGGAATACATCTAAAAATCATTAATAATATAGTACTTCTGGGAGAATTATATTACAGTATGTGGGAACACTTGGCATAGTGCAGTAGGTTGCAGTACAATTTCATCTTTAACGTCAGGTGTTCGAATCCCAAATTATTCATTTTGCTTGTGTCCTTGTTTAGGGTGCGCTGTCTACATACTGAATAATATTTTTTTAAGAAGCTATTGAAATTAAATTTTAAATTTTGTTACTAGTTAACACAGACAAAGTAGTAGATAATTAAATGGTTAAACTTTCAAGTTCAACTGAAATGTAAAAAAAAAAAATTTCCCTTGCCAACTTAGCAGAGAAAAAAATGTACCAGTTAGTATTTACAACCATGATTTGACAAGGTAGTATTGGAGTGAGCCAACAGTAATATAATGATGTGCAAAGAATTTAAAAGAAATAGCCTTTTCATACACATACTGCATAATACAGCATTCATGTTTTTAAGCAAGCAAATTTTCAGGACATTCCAGGTCAAATTTTCCAAATTTCAAGGACACATAATATCGCTTTTGCAGTAAATAAATTGGTGATTTTTCGATTGATTATAAAACATGTATGCTGTACAAATTTTAAATGCATGTTAGTTGAGTGTATATTATGTCTTATCTATGTCTCTCATTCAGAGGCGATCGATCTGTCTCTTTTTCTCACGCTCTTGGGAAATTCTGTTTTTCTCACACGTTAAAAATTTGTTGGTAAAGCAAAGGACTTCCAACGTAAAGTAAGGCATGCCTGATCGCCTACAGTACTGTTGAACTGTAGTAGAATTTTCTTCTCGGCAACACAAATGTGCGCGTACAATTCTTATCTTATTGCTTAAACGTGTCAGTGCCTTCTGTGGTGCCGCGGGGTGGAGTACACACCTGTCCAGGGTTGTTGTCCAGCGAATGACAACTATTATACAGTATCTTAGCTGTGGCACAGATATACAGTAAAACAATATAGCTTCTTCGATGGGTGTACTGTACGTCGTAGAGAAGTTAATTTATTTAATTTCACATATCAGGTGTTTATAAATGTTTACCTGTAAACTTGTATAACCTAATGATGTACCGTACTCAAAATAATGGCTATTTTCTATTCTCTACACATCATCATGCTATACTGTATTATTATTTATTATTTTTCATTACTATTGGGCCTATTATTATTGATATGGTCTATTATTATTAGGCATTATGTTAATTTTATCTCTGTATTTGGACATTTACCATGCTGTAGGCCTACGTAATCTTTTATAATCTACTATACAGCAAATGTTAAAGTACAGCAGGGTTCTCACCATCCTACTGGCACTGATACTGTAGGCTGCCGACCAGCATTGATTTTTCAATGGTTTTGTAAACTTAATTAACAAAATACTGTACCTGGCTCTAAAAAGACTTTTAACTGTACTTTTAACACCCCCCCCCCCGCTTGATGCTTCGCAAATCGCATTATCCACCCCCTATTGCTAAATCCTAGATCCGCCACTGCAAATTAACAAAAAATATAATGTCCAAAAACCAACCAATCAATCCAAATTTAACTTCTTCATCAACATCCATTTTTTTACTGCCTAATAATATAATATTTGTAAATAATAATTTATAGGCCTACTTACCTGGTACAAAAGTAATATACAAAGATATACTCCAAAAACAGACCCACTTCCATCTGCCTAATAAATCCAACTTCATCATTGTTCAATCAAAATTAATATTCCAGAAAAGTTCAAAAAAAAGAAAATATCTTATCAATGGTAAGTGGAACAATAGTTTTTCTTTTATTCCTGACCATTAAAATGTCTGAGGTAATGTCATAAAACCAGCGGAAAGTTGATGGTTCCAAGTTCAGCTAAAAATTACTATAGCATCCAATTACAGGTAGATTGGTCAATAGGTTCTATTTGCAGCATTCTGGTTGGCCCTTGAGAATGTGAATTGGTCATGTGACAAACAGGATAAATGGTCACATATTGTTCATGAGTTAAGATAACGGAACTGAACTTGGGAGACTCAACCTGAAAAAAAGGGAAATGGAACATAATAATAATAATATAGGCCTATATTGCTTTACAGTATATTTCATATTATAATCATAATTCTGAAGGTCTCTCTGTACCATAAATATTAATAAACTGTATATGAACAAACCCTACATTACATTTGCCATTGAATATGATGTGACCCAGCAGCTTGAACGACTAACAATACAGTCGGCCCACCATGGTTCACTCCCTGTACAGTATTTCACCTGAAGAGTACTTACAGTATAGTACTGTACTCTACTGTACCAGAGATACAAAGTGGTCAAGACTAATACTGGTCTCTGTAAAACAAATGTGATTCAAAAGATGGAACAAAAAAGATTACAAAGAAGTGGTTTTCACTATTTGTTTGTAATGGACCTTTCTGCTAGAGTAAGCCCTGTTCTTTGGATTTTTGCAAAGGTCCTGTACAAGATAATTAATAATAATTTTTAAAATCCTCTTTATTTATTCTATTCATTCAATACTTAACGCAGATAAATGGCATGTGGCAATATGCCACATATTTATTAAATATTAATAAACTGTATATGAACAAACCCTACATTACATTTGCCATTGAATACTGTATGATGGATTTTTGCAAAGGTCCTGTACAAGATAATTAATAATGATAATAATTTTTAAAATCCTTTTTATTTATTCTCTTTTTTATTCAATACTTAACGCAAATAAATGGCGTGTGGCAATATAAAACGTGATTAGCGAATGACATAATCACAAAATGACAGCGCTAGTGTACCGTACATAAACATATCTGTGTAATTTACAAAACAAAGGCATACAGTTTTTTTTGCTTTTTTTTTATGAGATTCAACTTTCAAAAAAGAATTTTTTTTAATCTTGAAAAAAAAAGTCTTAGGGACTCAGAATGTACAGGAATAGTTCTCATCTATTGATACTGTCTTTTTGAGCCCTCCAACACCAGGAGAGACGTGCAATGAAATTTGACAAGGAATCATTTGCCTCTCATTACGGTTTTTGTGCACACAGTGGCTACCAGCAATTCAGCCAAATACTGCAGTAATAGTAATAATATAATAATAATAATAGTAATAATTCTCTATAATAGAGATTTTAATTGATGATTAAGTGTGTGTTCAATAACTAAAATAATGCGAGCTGTTATGTTTTTAGTACATTTTGATGGTAAAATATTAGATTTCAAAATGCCTATTGAAGAAAGCCTATAAAGTCATTCAGGAGTAATGAACGGTAACCAACGTCTGTTGACACAACTGTGGTACTCTATAGTGAATGCAATTAATAAAAAATAAAAAATAATCAGAAAAAAAACTACATTCATGTTACAGCATAAATCAAGAGATTAGTTATGACATCAACCAGTGACAAACCTGTCATCACAAAAGATTCTAACTTAAGACTTTAATAAAATGTTCACTGTGTTGATCAAATTACTGTATACAGTAATAATCAATATTTATATAGCCCCTAAAGTTAACAACCTCAAGGCGCTTAATAACAACATAATAATAACAATAAAAACAAAATAGAAATTTTCTTTTGATTTATAAAATATTAATGTTGTTCATTAAAAGATAAGTTACCTATATTTAACAAATGAATGCATACTATATCTTTATTTTACAAAAAAGTTACATCATAATAACAGATTTTTTTTTTTAACTTTTACATCAAATATTAAATTTATCTCCAAAAGCTCTATAAAACCAAATAAGTACAATTAAAGAATAGTTTTTGCAACTACATATATTGGTAATGCAATGATACTTAGCACTTAGGGTCTTTCACAATTATCAACATTTTGTAAGTGTACAGACAGTACTCTTTTTCAGTATCCCTCCCTCTCCTCTGAAAGTGTACTGTACATAAAAATGTTGATTTTGCAACTAAAGTACTGTACTTGGATGTATATTATATTCCTGACTGCATTATAGTTGATCATAAAAATCTATTTTTTTAAATATTACATGTTATTTTGAATCAACATTTTCATGTACAAATTTTTCTACCCCTTCTCCTCAGCATACTATTTTTGTACAGTAAACTCGTGAAAATGTTGATAATTGTGAACAGCCCCTTAATACCACACAATCACACATTTGAACTTACATGGTATGAATAAAAAATTACTTAACCACCATGCATCTTATTATCGTAATTCAAAATATTACATTCCAAGCTTTAACGACGTTATTGCAAAGAAGATTTTAATATAATGTAGCACAACAGAAAGTTTTTCATATTTTGAAAAAGATGTTGGCTGCATGAGAGTCTTAGTTTTAATGTTCGTGTTATTTAACATCCTGTAATAATTTTTTTTAACGATAAGAAAAACTACTTGATAATCAATAAGGATAACATTAATTTTTTAAATCTTTTTTATATATATTCTTTTTATTCAATATTTAACGCAGATAAATTGCATGTGGCAATATAATTCAATGTGATTAGTGAATGACATCATCAATGACAAATCATTCATCACTAAGACCAGAACATTCCAAATAATTTTATTGAAATATATACCAGTTCTAGCAGAGAACATCCCCTCTAATTCAATTCAAATTCAATTCAAATAAATTTCTTTCTCAAAAATAACAAAAGTATTTTCAAAAGAATAATTAAAAACTATATCTGAGAAAACGGAGTATAACTGTATTAGCAAAGCGTTTAGTGTGGGCCACTCACTCTATAGTAGTTTTATTATTGTAAAGTTAAATTTATACACAGTTCTATTTGTTTTGCTAAGAAAGAAAAACGTTAATGATATGCAAGATGTATCGATAAACACACCTTCAAACTTTTTTCTGAACATGTGTTTTTCTAAGAAAGAAAAACATTAATGAGGATGCAAGATTAATAGACTACAACACGTTCCACCTTTTTTTTCTGAAATGCTTCCTGGAGAGATGGCTTCAACTGCCAGTCATGCGTTTGCACTTTTTCCAGCCCTGTATCCTGTACTTTCTGCTAAGATGAACTTAATACTGATTGTGCTATCGAACCATAATAAAAATGGGTTTCATGTCTTCCATAGAGTTACTGTTACAAAGATAATGAGCATCAACTCCAACACTTCATCATAAAAAATCAATGCTTCATATGAAGCTGCCTTCAAGATGGTTGCCAGGATGGGACCATAGAGACATTGACCATTGACCATAATTTAATGAATATATTATTTAATTATGAGTCCAAAACTGTCAGTACACAAAATTGGCTTTTTACTGGAAACAAATAACTGCAGACATCAAAAAGTAATCAACTTTATTGTATTTTTACAAATGCTGCATTTTACATTTACAAATTATTGGAGTGTAATAATAAAATAAATTACAGTACTGCATAATACTTAATTGTCTTCAATGCAAAAATAGGTTAGGGGCCTATGCACGAGAAATTCTCAAGTAGTTGTGAGACGTAAATATGTTGATCCTCCTGATGCGCAGGTACAGGTATGGCGATGTTTTTTCTGAGGTGCAGGTATGACGATGTTTATTTTTGCATTGAAAAGGAAGTTTTTTATATACAGTACATGTAAAATGCAGCAGTTGTAAAAATACAGTAAATCTTTTAGAAGTCTGCAGTTATGTTGTTATGATCATGCTGCACAAGAAAAAAAAAACTGCACAAAAAAATATATGGAACGATTTACAGTCCTACTGCCTCTCTAATGTGTAGGGGCCCTCACGAGGAAGGCAGTTATACCAGGAAACATGAAGGATGCATGTTCCCCTGGCGAGGCACTGATTTTACTGTATAATTATGATAAGGCCTTGTTATTTGAACAATATTGGTAGCAGAATCCATCAGCCTCAGTTCTTTTCCTATCTATCGTGATCAATTTCATAGTGGCTTAATAATATGCCATATGCATGAACCAGTTCCTCCAGAAAATAATCTGGATCACTACAAAAAAAATCATCAAAAAACAAGAAGATCACAATCGAAGCGTTGTCTCATTTTCACCACCACACGACTGACCACTGGGAATGGGTCAATCCGAGTTCGTACTAACAAACGCCATGCCACCAACACAAAACAACAGCCTTGTTGTGGCCTAGCGTTCTACAGTACTCGTGCGAGGAAAAAACGGAAACAGCTACTCACCAACTTAATTCCATGAAGAGTTTGAGAAATATACCAACCGACAATTTCCCATCCAAAATCACTGTGGGACGTCTTTGAACTTGTAAAGTGAAAATTGTTTATTACGATTGAATACCTCAATTCTTTTGCAACAACGTCTTCTTCTCTCGCACCGCGGCAAAATCCCTGACCTTGTTTGTATTTCGCTTGCTTCGTTGATAAGTGCTGTGACGTCACTACAAAACAATTTACATAAGAGTACAGTACATGATAAGTGTACGCACGTAAATTTGTAGTACTGTACTTTTTTGGGGGTGGGGGAGGGGATGGGGAGGTTTATATTATTTTTCGCCTTCATCATTATCACGAAAACAAAAAAAAACTCATTGGGAGGGGATATTTGAAGTATATTATTCATATTTAACTATGTGGGTTGTGTTGGTGGGAAGTTGGGGGTCACGGGATGAGTAGAGTGGATTGTGTGTTCTCTTGAGTGAGTGAGTGATTATTATTATTATTATTATTATTATTATTATTATTATTATTATTATTATTATTATTATTATTATTATTATTATTATTATTATTATTATTATTATTATTATTATTATTATTATTATTATTATTATCATTATCATTATCATTATCATTATCATTATCATTATTATTATTATTATTATTATTATTATTATCATTATCATTATCATTATCATTATCATTATTATTATTATTATTATTATTATTATTATTATTATTATTAATGAGTTATTGGTTTCTCCTGCTTTAGAAAAAATGAATCCCAGTTTGCCGAAAGTTAATTATAAGCAGTAAAACTTTAACGGCATAAAATTCACGATGGAGCACTCTCTTACCAGTATTCGTATAATAAATAGTAGCTTATTGTAGTTCAATGATTATTTATGTCATCTGTAAATCAATCTTGATTTAGCAATTCGGCTATCAGCAAATAATTAAATAGACCTTCAGCTAAAATTCTTATAACAAAATGTGTAGAGGAAATAAATAAATAAATAATAATCTACAATTATACACGTGTCAGTGGTGGCTCCAGAAATATGTCGACAACGGGTCCAAATCAAGAGGCCGACTAGAACCTTGGCCTAGGATCCGGCATAAAAATCATAGGGTTCGCAAGGAGTTTTTTTTTTAGGTGGGGAGGGGGATACGATGTGGGGTACGATGCTTAATCCTTCATTTCACTTCATTTTATTTCTAATTTTAACTGCAAGTCATGCCTTCGAGTGTGCTTTCTCACAGGTTTTTTTTTAATTTGTATCGTAAGTACAGCTCCTCCCTGACCCACCCATTATTTCAAAAGCACAGTGCTGTATTTTTATTTATTTTTTTTTTGACGAAGGTGAGGGCAAGATTCGGCAAACTGGGTTTCGGCAGATTGAGTTTCGACAAACTGGGTTTTTACGGCAAAACTGAGTTTCGGCAAACTGGGTCGTCATGTGCAGTGAAATGGATTTACCAAACTGGCTTTCGGAAAAGTGACCATGGACTCGGCAAACTGGGTTTCAACAAACTTCTCGGATACGTTATGCTAATTTTTTTGTTTAAACAATGTGTTGTAAAGCCAATGTATAAAGTATGCCTTGCCTATCAACTGTGTAATAAAATATTTAAGGGCATGGAGGACACGCACCTGAACACTATATATAACCCAATTGCAATTGATGAAATTTTAAAGATCAAACATAAGATGTTCCTGTTCTTTTTTCTTTTAAACTCATTTATAGATAGTGATACTTATATATTCGCTGCAGTAGCATGACTGAAGTTATAGCCTAATTTTACTTTAGTAGGCCTATAAGACATAAAGCCGAAATACTGAAATCATCTGACATTCTAAGAAAGCTGTCATATCAGAATGTTATATCACATCACCTCCGTAAAATGCCAACATTTTCCTGGTACAGGATTCATTTTATGAATTTTCTGGAAACAACGTTTTGTATTTTCTCAAAAACTAGAAAGAAGACAATAAAACACATCAAAGAGATACTAATATGATTACAGTATCTCTCCAGTGGCGAATCTGGATTTTGAAAAGGGGTGCTAGCTGAATAAAAATATTATTACAACGCAATGCGCTAAAAGGAGCGCTCAGGCACCGTAAAACCACTGGTTACCCCACTGTTATTTGTCATCATTTTAAAGATGGCGCATGAATTATGGTTTCTTTTTTTATTAGAAAATTTTTTTTTAATAGCATAAATATTGTCAACCTGAATATAATCATTGTCTATCACGTATGTGTATGATCGAGTATCGAATAAATTCAATCAATCAAAATCAATCAATAAAATTAGTGTTTTTGGAAAATGTTAACTCATATATAACTACCGCGATAAATGATAACACTTCAGCCATTTGAAGTAGGCCATATGCTTTCTACGAATGTACCGGTAATTATTATCCCAAATCAGGGTAGCCAATATCTCACCATGACACAACGGCAGTGGTGTATACGACGTACACTCAGTGGCGTAGCTAGGGTGTCAAGGGGAGCACATGCCCCGAGCACCAGGTTTGGGAGACGCGGAGATGGGAAAATGAGAGTAAAAAAAATAACCACCTTTTAGAAAAGCATGACGAAATTGATGCATGTCGTCAGGTATGGATATTTTCCAATTAGTAATAAAAATATGAATGTAGTTGTTTTTATTGACAAATTTTTAGATTGTGATTTCTTTTCAGTCCATTCTTTTAAAAATCTATTCTGTAATGACTACATGACTAAAGCTGATCCTGTATCATATCTCAGAGCTATCTGCTTTGGCACTCCTTAGTATTGAGCGCGATGAAGCAGACAACATTGCTAACTTTGATCATGTTCTTACCTTGTTTGCAGATGCAAAAAGCACGCAAAATTCGTTGCGAGTTTAAGCAATGTTACAAATTCAGCAACTTACAAGACAATAAGAATACTAAGCTAGCTGTATGCGATAAATACAACAGCCTTACAAATTAGGATAATGGTAAACTTGTATACAAAGTTCCGAACATCGTAATGCAGTTTCAGTATTAAGAAACAGGGGTGGCGCGACCGGGGGGAGGGGGATCATACCCCCTTCGGGGATAGCTCCCCCGCCCCCCGGTCGGGGAGAAAAACCATAATTCGTCGGGGTGAAAAACAATAATTCGTTGGGGAGAAAAATAAAATTATATGTATTTTTTACATATTATTAATAGGGACCTAGACTCTAAAATCGATTAAATAAGCCTTTGAAACCCATAAATTGTCAAAAGTTTCGGAGCTCGACGCTCAACCACGCCCACTTTCCTCTCGTCAGGAAAATCTTCCCCAGTCGTTGGGGCATCGCCGCATCCCCCCCCCCCCCACACTCACCATCAGTCAAATCCCGACGGGCCACCCCTGGTACGAAATAACCTACTATTATGAGAGCAGAACAGTGCTTATTTTACAGTGCATGATACGGACGTATGGTACGGATATGCCTTAATCCTATACAACCAATATCAATCTATTTCACAATATTATAATTATAATTGGGGAAGGGGGTGCAATTTTCTACTCTTTTCCCTGGGCGCCAAAACTACTAGCTACGCCACTGCGTACATTGTTGTTGCTAGTTTACCAAAAGGAGACTTCACCCCTGGACCTCGTCTGAGCGATCTCTGACCACGTCCAATTACGCTCCCGTCGAGGATATTGCGCAGACCCCCTCCCGAATTATTCTTTATGGAAAAGACACGTCATCATCGACATCATCATTACACTGTATTATATAGGCCTAATTAGATAATAATAGATGATAATCCTAAACATGAAGAATGATTAATTGAGGGCAGCATGTGCATTTAAAAAAAGTTTCAAAATGTGACTTAATAAGAAGAGTCGTTTGTGACCGTACCATATAGTCATTCAATATACAAAATGCGGGAGTTCTTCCTGCCAGTTTCCAGGAGACTCCATTCCGAGACTATACGGGAGACTTGAAACTTTTGGGTACTAAATGTGGTCTTTAGATTTCTCTATTTAGATGGAAATTTAAAAATAAATGTTTTAATTGGTTGTACAGTAACTGCATGCTCTTGTTTATTCTTAACATTTCTTGGTAGCCAGACATCAACTTGTCTTTCCATTAAAATATTACTAACATTGCCACTAACATTACCGTATCGTCATTCAATATACAAAACGCTATACAAAAAACAGTTTCTTTGCTAATATATCTACGTGTAAGTCATATATAACACAATTATTGTAGAATAAAAATGCATTAAGATCACTGTTTTAGTAGTGGAGCTACCAAAACTACTGTCTCTCGTTAGACGAAATATCGGAGGCGCAGAAATATTTTCTTTAATTAGAGGTGGTCTTTAATTGAAGGGATCTTTAATTGGATGGAGAATTGTACTTATTGTAATGAATATAGACCTACATTACTATATTATGTGGGGGGAGAATTGTACTCATTGTAATGAATATAGGCCTACATTACTATATTATGTGGATTTATTAATAATGTTTGTATCACATTGTCTTTTTAAGGCTTATTATTATATATATATATATATATTTAATCCACCATGAGTATTGTTTTTGTATTGCCATGTACAATTCAACTTTATTGACAATCCTTAATTTCAATATTTAAGATTGATTTTGAAAATGTTTAGGGGTATAATATAAAATAACAAATAACTATTATAAAATTTTGATTAGGCCTACTTCCAATTAAAAAATTGTAACCCTTAAATTAAAAGTGAAGACGTTAATTTTTCTAAAATTATGCATATGGTATTTCCCGGCTGAGGAGCCATTTTTTCAACCATGGTAAAAAAAAAATTAAAATATCGGCACTCACGTTTTTGTTTGATATTTTAAAGTTGGTTGAACTATATTGTGCACGTTTCTGAATCACGTCAGGTCATAATACTTCTTACGTTTTACTTCACTGCAATCCGGTCACTGATAGTTCGTATTGTTGCCAATATTTTAATTTTGACTATACTGTACAGTGTATTGTTCTTAATATCCTTGAATATGTTTTCGAATAGTTTATAAATATTTATGCTCGTTAAAATGCCGTATCTGTTTTAAAAATTTCAGACTATACGAGCATTAAGAGATTCGCCTAAGTAGACCCCAACTCGCTAGGCCGCTGTAAGAAACAAGTCTACTATCAAAGGAAATAAACCAAGGACTCTAGGATTGAAATGCAAGCATCTTTACCACCATCAAATCCATTCCACACAGACCTAGCATTACCAGTTATTATGTTTCTTCTACCTGTGTCTATGGATCACTGTGACCAATTACTCATTAACATCACATAAAATGTAGATTGTGAACTTCCTTTTGATGGTATTTGATGCAAGGGGAGAAGGTGGTTCAGTTATCAGAGGAGAGGGTTTGCTCAGAAAGAAAGTCAGTTAATACCCTAGAACAGCACTTCCCAAACTTTTATTTTCAGAGGACCAGCACTTTGCCCCTCAAATGGCACTGCCTCTTACATGATCAAAAGCAAAAATCCCATTCTTACAAGAACCAGTATCTGTTTGGGCTTGTGCCTATTCTCACTCCGGGCTTAAATTGTACTTGATGATTACCAAATAAATATTATTATTATTATTATTAACCAAGCCAATTATATTTCACTGCATTTTGTAATGCTGGCAGTAAAAATGCTGGCATTGAAAATGCTGGTGCAGTAGGCGATTCCAGGAGATCTGGTTAAATGAGCTTTCCTAGTGTACATTAATTTTTTTTTACTTTGCATGGCGATACCCATCGGCAGCTTCTGTGAGAAGCTTGATAATAAAGTAGTAAAGACATGCAAAAATTATGAATTAGCGGGAGATCGGTTATTTTCTGGGAGATTCTTGCTTGCTTACGGCAGTGTGGGAAGACGTCCCGATTTCAGGGAAATTCCCGCAACTTGGTGGAGGCTTGGGACCCTATTATGCTAAGTCTCAACTGGTGATAATTGATTTCTTGGTATGTAACAGATAAGATAGGCCATGAAGTTTCAAGTTTCATTTAATAAAAAAACTACCTTTTAAGGTACAATATTTGTATAGTATATTTGCCTTACATGGAATATTATTATGTATTTTTATATTTGCTAAATTGATGTGAAATTTTAAATATAAGTATAGCCTTAACCTAATTTACAATTGTAAGTTAATAACTTATTACAAATTAGGAAATTCAAATACTGTAATGGAATTTAATTTTTTAATTTCTTAGCTCTCAGAGAGTACATCTTTAAATAATCGGAGCATTACATGTATTAATGTTTATAAATGTATAATCATTATAAAAAATCTAATCAATTAATCAAATAATATGACACCATATGTTTTTAAATTTTAATTTATTTCACATTCAACAGCAAGTACATTGCCAATTTACAGGATAATGACAGCAAAAGTGATGACTTATTCACCATTGAAATTCAGTGTAAAAAGGTACAGTCATAATTTGATTACAATTTCAGTCGAGTTGAACAATGCTCGCAAACTTAAATTTCAATCTCAACTTTGCAGTAATCAAATAATTATGTGCATTTTCCTAGTGTAAAAATTAATTCTTGTAGATGAAACAGTATTTTTTAAAGGAAAAGAAAAAAAGCATTTTTGAATAAGGAATTTTGTTTAAGGAATTCTTTGCTTATGTGGCATGTCTACATTTTAAAATAAAATTAACAGCATTTTGAAATTAATTGTACCAATTGAACGGCAACTGGTTGCATTCAGTTTTTTAGTTGTTTCTATTGCTATTATTCACTTTAAAGCTAAGCATAAGTGGCCCTTGCGACTAAACTGACATCAACTGACCTTTAGCAAATTGCCAGGAACTGTGAGTCACGCCACTTGAATTTACATGAGCGCTCCGATTAACAGTTGCTCTCTGTTGCCCATGTTACATTTTGCTGCAATTCAAAGCAACTGACAAGAAATTTAATGGTCATGTAAAAGGAGTTACAGTCAACTCTAGCCTACTATGCACATGTGTTGTGCACACTAACATCAAATATGTTAGCATTTTAAATATGTCAGCGTTGCATGCAAACTAGTTGTAGATGATCTTTAGTCAAAAGAGACGTAAGCGCTCTGGGCAACTAGTTCTACGGAGTTCTACTGTGTTGCTTGTAACTGCGAAATTGCGTGTGAAAATCGACATGAGCGTTATCAGCAACCAGTTGAGGTCGGTTGATGTCAGTTGAGCTGAGTAAAAAAGAGCGACATAAGCTTAGCTTATGAGACATTTAAAAAATACAAAAGGAATACAATGTCCATTAACATTTAGAGTAAACATAGTGCTACCCAGCAAAAACACTGTGTTTTTCCTTGTAATAATCCATAGTAATACACCAGAGAGGACGGTCTACATTGATGTCACAGATCATGATGTCTCCATTGCTTCCACTGACTCGGTAACGTCCACATTGAAGTCGCGAACAGATTTAGTGAGGACAGCTGTTGTTCCACGTTTATAACGATAATCTCCTTGCCTAAAAATACACAAATATAACAAAATATTGGTTAATTTAGGCTGAAAAAAAATTGAGTATCTACTGTACATTCAGATCCACAATTTGTAAAAATTCATATTTAGTACTACCCAAAAAACGGCTGAGTGTTCAGGGGCATAGCTAAGCCTTCAGAAGGACCCAGGGGCAAAGTATTATTGTATATGGTCACCAGTAAGATATAATTTTATACAAATGAAGTTTTTGGTTCTGAACTTCTTTTTCTATTTAACCTATATGTTAAAACTTATAAATGTCAAAATTCAGTTCATTTCATGTTTCATGAAAAAATATTCTAGAGTTAATGGTACAAAATATAGTTTTATAAATTAGATTACTTAAGTTATATAATTATTTGATTTCTCGATTCATATTCACTACAGTATGCTTCTTTTGAAACTTTCAAATGCATAATTAAGTTGTCTGTCTAGCATTTAGGATAAGGAATTTTATTTTCTTATTAATTTTTCGTCTTCTGATGTTGTGTTGTTTTAGGTTTGCCTTATGTAAGTAGTTGGCTCCTTCCTGTTGGATGTACAGTACATCAAAATAAAAAGTTTCTAAAAAATAACAATGAATATGAAAATATGAAAGCATAAATTTACAAATTCCCTCGTAAAATATATCCTCTCATGATCCCTTAACTTTTTGCATGTGAAAAAAGTTTTACAACTCTTTTGCAGGCTTTAAAAGTCACTGTCAGACTCGTGACCGGGTCTCATGACTACTGAAATTAGAAAACAAAGCAGCCCAAAGTCAGCCATGGTTGTATGTGTCCTTGTAAGGCATTACAAGACATATCAAACTCATCCTACCTGACACCCTTGATGTTAGCCTCGTCATAAGGCCTCAGATAATCTACTTTATCTTTCTTGATGACACAGATATCAATGTTGGTACCAGATCCAAGATCATTGAAGATACCTGAAGCAATGGCATCTCGCACTAGCTTCTTTGCATCCTCTTCCTAAAAAGCAGATTAAAAATACAGTTACAGTGATTTGTTGAATCAATTCAATGCTATCAGGCCCATACGCTGGGTTATCAATCGGGGGGGGGGTTACTTTTTCAAGGAAAACGATGGGTTGATTACAATTAGAATTACCAAATACAACTTTTATACTACATTTTGTATATGATATGATTGAAATTAAATATTCCAAATCTAGGTGGACCTCCAGCACTGGATGGGGGGGGGGGGGTCTGTCCGGCGGGCCCCCAAACACCTGCCGCATACGGGTCTGGCCATGTGGACAAGGTACACATACAATTTAAGCTTTACTTCTCCTGTGCATTAAATGAGAATGTTCACATCACATCACAATAATATGTGATGCAATCAGCACACTGAAAACAAACAAATTCTAGCATTATGTAATAAGAGATTACAAATACAGGGCAATATGAGTTGAGGTAAGCAGCCATACTGCCCTCTACAGCTTACAAATGCACCTTACAAAGGCCACTGTGTGGCCAAAGGCTCATTGTGTAAATAAAATTTGTTAGTCTGTAAAGTACTGTTTGTCTTCAATTTACAGGCTCTTACAAATGCAAAATTAAAACGCACCTCCATATAGTAACATATATTACTACAAATGCAGGGCAATGCGAATTGAGATAAGCAGCCATACCACCCTCTACAGCTTACTAATGCTTAATTACAACACACCTCCATATCAACCTTGTATCGGTCTTCAAACACTGACATGGCAGCAAGTGAACCGGAACCCATGGTGACAAATGGTAGCTTATTGGTTGAGCCATGAGGGTAGATACTGTACAGGTGAGGTCCATCGATGTCTACACCACCTAGAACCAATGCAGCACCAATGTACCCTTGGTATCTATAAAAGTTATTAAAAAGCAGATGTATACAACTTTTAATTACTCTAGTAAAATCACCAGGAAAAATATAGAAGACTTACATAGGCAGGCCACTGGTTAAGTCAAGTAGAGAGGGCAGTAGAGCATTAGCACAATTAATACTAATTTTTGTTTATCTTTTAATTAACTAAGCAGTGAAGCACTGTTGGAAACTGGACTAATCATAGAAAATATTCTGTTCCTAGGGGAGTAACAAAGCAGTTTTAATATTAAAATGACAAAAATTTAACAATAAAAAAGAATATGGGATACTATACAAATACAACATGGTTGGAAGTGAAGTAGTGAATTCTACTTTCTGAGTTGTTAAATAATTGGGACTACCTCCCTACAAATAAATAAAACCATGGTGTATTTGTTTAACTATACCTAGATACTATAACTAAATATTTAGCAGCAGACTGTCGGTCTACATGAGCCACTTTGATCTGTGAAGGTAACATTATGCAGTCTGCATACAATTCAGGTAGGCAGGGGTGTAAAAGTCAATATTGAGTAGTACTTTTTACCTGGTTTACGTGTAAATTTTGCAAAACGTAGGGAGGTAGTCGAAGGTATGGCATTGCTTACCAGGTGGAATTAACCCATTTACTGTCGTTAAGCTAATTAATATTTATGAGGCATTGAAAAAAATATTTTACCCATAGAGCTATTAAACAACTAGAGTGCTGACAAGATGGCACAGCTATGCAGAGTTATGTATGTGTACCATCCAAGATGGCCGTCGTAGTAAAGCGCCACCTTCAGGCTTAGTATACATATTATTACATATTAATAAGCCCTCTGACTGACTATTATTTCATTAATGATAATGAGTAAATCGAATACATTGTGGTTAGCGCTCTAGTATTCTTATTATATCTCTATGATTTTTACCTGAAAAGATACTGCTTAAGCATTCTATTGGCTGTGACAACCCTGTCTTCTCTGCCTGTAGCTAGTCTGTGAAGTTCCATCTTTGAGGATATCATCAAAGTTGTAGTCTCTGTATCTGCGGCAGTTCCGGCGCCACAGCAATAAATGTTTGGTGAGATGTAGTGAATTTTGGAGCAGTTCTTATCGGCAACGACTGTGTCTTCTGTCGCTCTAGTGTCAGCTCCCAAAATAATTCCATCCTTATGTAATAGCAGATTAAATAAATATAATGTTTATAAATAAATAAAAGTACATTAATAACAAAAAATGTGAATTAAATATCATTGTTGTTGTTGCTTTTGTTATAATTATTTTTGTTATTATGACTATCAGTAAACATATTTCATATTACCTGTTTATTGCATTTATATTTAATTTATATTTTTAATGTTAGTTACATTTTTTGGCAGGTTTGTTTTTATTCTGTTTGTATTGCTGTTAGTAGAAAAATAAAAGGCTCAATATAAGATTCATTAGGGGAAAAAATCATGATGTATTTTTTAAAATATTTATTTTCAATATTGAAGATATATTAGTATACCTTAAACACAACACCAGCAATGGTTGTTCCAGTCTTAGTGGCTTTTGGTGGTTTTGCTCCTTGCTTCTCCAAGAAAATGTTTCTACAAGCAAAAATATTTAAAAGTAAAATTGTAACATATAAAAATTCAAGAAACAAAATAATAGTACTGAACTCACGCATTCTACGCATTTCTGGTACTTTCTGTTTACCACACGGTGATGCTGCGCTAACTTTGACAACGTTTGTGTTTTTTTTTAATCAATGGAATAATCATTACAGCAACTTTTGGTAAACATAGTACGTAGTTGCATAAAAGTAATATTAAGACAGTCGAATGGATTGCATGATGTATATCCTGAAAAATGCGTTTTTGTTTCGTCTAACTTCTGCTAGGCCAACTTGCTATACTATTTTTCTGTCAACGTCCATCGCACAACAGACAAATTGCGCTTGCATTGACAGGGGTGGATCCAGATGTCCAAAAAAGGGGGGGGGGGGGGGAAGTTGGGTCGAGGGGGGGGGGTGAAAGTTGGGTCGATCGAGACAACACTGCCCTAGGGGGTCTGGGGGAATTCCCCCACCAGATTTTTGTGTTCTAGACGCCCGAAGATAACATTTGAGGCGTTCTGGGCTATCTTTTTTTTTTCTTTTTGTTCTTTTTTCACGTACACGAACTCTAATTGGTTGCCCAGACAACACCAGAGCTCTGTTGTTTAGAATAGCCATGAAGGGGAATTCCCAAGTTATACCTTTGTCGTATAGGTAATCTCACAATATTTTCATGTTCTTTAGTTAAATAAAAGATATAAAGTGATGAATTAATGCACCAGACACATGGTTTTATTTGAACACTTTATTGTGACATCGTGAAGTGATGAATAAAAACACTAAACACATATTCATAGGCCTGGATAGGTAACATCGTTCGTTCATTCATAACGTACGTTTATTGAGTGTTGCGTACGTATTTGGTCAAAGGTCACCACAAATTTAACCCAACCTCAATTTTACAAATCTCCCGATTTATGGACACCGTCTGAGGTTCTACTGTACAGTCCATATAAAGTGTGCCCTCTCTAATGAGGTTAGTTTTTGTACTTCGCATCTCCCACACTCCAGTTGATCAAGTAAGCCTAAGATATGTTTGTTTGTCAAAATCTCAGTCAGAAAATTTTTTTTAACAAATTTAAAATAATTCCAATGAAATATTTCACAAGTATCAATATTAGCAACGGAAAATATCACGTCGGTCGTTTATATGTCTGATAACAGAACCTAAATCGAGGTAAGGCTAGGCGTAGCCTAGCAGTGTTTATAGGCTAATATTTCCGGTGCCTACTATATTTCTTCGCAGACCTATCGCAAAATCAAACATAAACAATTTGTCCATGTTTATTTTTTGTGTGGAACACAAAAAAATCAAATTTCAGTCTTGCACTATTTCACATTTTTTCATGCTTAGGAATGTCTAAATTCAGTAATTAACTAGGCCTAGCAATTTCTTATATTTATAAATCTTTATAACATACTTATATAAAAATCTGAAATTTCTTATCAACTGAAATTTTGCTGGGAATGTGGCTTTAATCTTTATACTTAAATATAAATATTTTATCTGACAGGCATATTTAATTTGAGGCCTAGGCCCCAAGGGGCCGGCCCTAGCCTAGTACTACAGCAGTAGGCCTTGCCTAGGGCTAGCCTAGGCCGACACAGTCTCTCTATCTAGGCTAGGAGCCTAGCTTAGGTCCTAAGCCTAGGGCCTAGTCCTAGCTAGAACGAAGCTCTTCGCAAGGCCTACTCTATAAGAACAAAATAATACTAGGTAGGTAATTACAAATATATAATTTTAAAAAAACCTTTTGCAATTTTCAAATACGAATCCTCCAGTGTGAACTGGCGTTACAAGAGCGGTAGCCATGTTAAATTTTTTGCTCTATCACTGTTGGGTACTAATGACTAAATTACATGATTGCATGTCCACTTCGTTTTATAGAATCGTGCTGATCCACTGCTTTAACGAAATTTGGAGTCTGCTGAAAAGAACTGCTAATACGTAAAATGTAAACATAGAGGGCAGCAAGGTGATGTTACAAAATGGCAACTTTGCGGAAGTCGGAGTCTGCTTGTGGTGCTGTAGCTTAGAAGGAATTAGATTACTGCACAGAAAAAGCCCACAAAGGGCACATATCTTACTATGGGGTCTCGTTTGAAGTAAGTGAATAATATGTTTATAATTAGTTTACAATTAACTTGAGTAATTTGCGTTTGTTTTACCACTTAATTACGTGTCATGAGTGATGATGGTGGCAGCCTCACTCAGTCGGCAGCTTTCCCATTGATTTTCTTTTTTTTGGGAGAATGTTACTTAATAATACAGTGGTGATACAGTCAGTACATACAATACAAGACGTCGGCATACTGATTTTTATTCAATTCTTTGTAGCGAAATTATTAATGATAATTTATCAGTTGTACCTTTTGATTTAGACCAACTGATTTTTTTTTAGTGTAGTATGGACTATGACTAGGCTATGTAGGAATTTTCAGCTCAGAAAATAATCAAATTACTATTAGTCTCTTTTATATTAATATAATATAAGTCAATCGTGACGTCATCACTGTAACTCCCAATTTTATTTGCCTATCCCCACAGTTCAATCATTTTTCAATTAGTGAACGATTGTCTTGATTTTTGTAGGTTCGTGTGCAAAAAATATTCCTCATTTTTTTATTGCAAGAAGATGGAAATTGAATTGTAATTGAAAATTACTTTCGTAAAACACTGAGCTTAATTAGAACATGAAGAAAGTTACTTCAAATTCAGTATTAAGTATGAACAAGTAAGGAATTCCTTGAATCAATGGACCTTCATAAACTAAAAAAACTGAATGTTTATTATATTAGGAATATTTTAGACCTAGAAGACTCAAGGAAGGAAATTAGATGTAAGCCTACAGGTACGGCCAGGCAGGAGGCCACTGGGGCCTCCTCCTACTGTACTAGCTAGGCCGTAGCCTAGCTTAGCTAGCTATATGAAATGTTTATTTCTTTGATGAAATGTCTATCAAAATAGCATTACAAACAAGTTCTTCTAACGCAATACAAATCACAATAGTTATTCTTCGTACTGTACTGCTGAGATGTGTAGTTAAAGTGTACTGCGGGACTTACCAACTTGGCGAAGATTTTCTTTGCTATCAACCTTCTTTAAGAAAGAGAATTCAGGGTAGGCGGTATGCAAATGAATCATATATTCATAGTGTTAATCTATTTCATATGGAACATGGCGGGGAAATTGTTGTAAAAGCCTTCCCAAAGGAAGAGGGAAAAGCCGCATTCAGTCATCCTTGTTGTCGACTAAGCCAAAGTCACTGATGCGCACTGCTTGTGTAAATCTGGGTATCTATAACCAAGCATAGACATGTCTATAGGCCTAGGCTCACGTATGTTTCGCGTTTAAACCAGCTGTCACACTTTCAATAATGTGGTACTGTATTGTGAAAAGTAATCCAAGTAATTTCTTTAATTATCTGTTGAGACTTACTTACAGTATAGTACATTATTCAGTATTCAGGAATCAGAACAACAACATAATTACTGTTCTGATAAAATGCTGCTTTGAACTGAATGTGATATGGTTTGATTAATTGGTTCTTGAAGTTATCAGAAACTGGTATGTCTTAGCCAAAAGTTTCAGAATATAATTTGGTAAACTATTGGTTTTATTTCATTACACAAAATGAGTCATGCTTGTGAAAATGAGGATAAAAACAAAATACTGATTAGGTAATTTGGAACCTCATTTCTGTAATTAATAGGCCTTTAATATTAACAGTAATAGTTAAAACTCCCAGGTTTTAACAAGCTACAAACCTAAAAAAAAAGAAACAGCTAGCGTGCTAACTATTTGACATCAAGCTTTATTGGAATTTTCATCAATAACATTAAGGCCCTATAAAAAATATTAGTTTATCACCCTATCTGGGTAGGAAAAGTGATGATTGAGGGAGGCTTTTTTTTTTATATTTTTATTTTGCTAAAGCCAAATATCTCCCTTGTTGTTTGCTGGTGCATTGATATTCAAAGTAAAACATGATTTAGATAATGCAAACCATATCTACTAACTATTCAATAAAATAAATGAATAAAAAAAAAAAATTTTCAATAAAAAAAAATTTAAATGTTTCTTTTTTTTCCAATTTTTTTTTTCTTCAAAATTTTCTTTTCCAGTACCATAGAAGACATGCGCGCGGGGGTGATAAAGTAATAATTATTTTTATTGGGTCTAATGTGCAAACCTATACAATAGATTTGTACATTTATTCCTGATGAAATAATTAATGCCGAAATATTTATTTATTCTTTCTTTATACTGAATATGCAATTTCATTACATAGTACTGGTTTCCAAAGTGGTTCAGTTCTTAACTACAAAATTTTAAAAGCAGATATATACACATTGTAACCAAAAAAGATTGATAACTTAACTACAAATTAAAATAGATTTAAAAGGAACATTGAAACTTAAGAAAATAAAAAAAAAATAAAATAAATGTGGATATGCAAGGTAAGAGAAAATCAGGTTAAATTAAGATGGTATTATTGAGCATCTGAAATAGAATGCTTAAAATTTGAAAGTGTCATAGATTTAAAGTTGGTTTTAGTATGATCCAGGAGTTTATTCCATAATTTAGTAGATCGGTATACAAAAGATCTTTTACCTTGCATATTATTCAGGTGTATTCAATTAGTGTATTTTACCTTTGACTGCGAATACAATGCGTATGCAAACCATAATTAAAAACAAAATTTCTCGATAAATATGATGAAGCATGATCATTTAAACTTTCGAAAAATCAATTGTTCGTCCCATTTATCACTGAGTTTGCTCCAACACAATGGTGTGTATTTCAATACTTAGAGTATGATTATACTTTCTTATCTGAGATTAATCAGTGGACTTTTTGGAAATTTTTACGAAATCTTAGCAATGGGACCATTTTTTATCTGTCAATCAGGGTCTTTTTACTGGGGCCATTTTTACCACATACCATTTTACAGAGGCTTCAACAAATTCACTACAGATATACAGTAGTTTCTTTTTGATAAATCTTACAATGAGTTTACAGTTGAATAAATTTGAATGTTTTATTTTATTTTTTTTTCTTTTCTGTCTCTTTTGTCTAGGGAAAATCCCGAGCATATTTTTGAATGCTTTTTTGAGGTAGCAGCACCTAAGGACACAGATTCTAGTAAGTGACATTTCTTGGATATTTTATGAATTTTGTTTCCTCTTTTTATTAATTGTATTTTTTAGTCAACCAGCAGTAGCAATTATAATGAATTACGAGATGAGCATTTCATTTGAGGGCTTTAGTGCAGTGTGTACAAAAGTGGCACTTTTAACCATTTTTGTCATGTTAAAAATAGTTTAATAGACTAGTTTTTACTTTAATAGTTATTACGGTGTTTAATTCCATTAGAAATCTGTTAAAATAGTGTCCAGATGAGGAACAGTCCAAGATCTTTTGTACCCGGGGTGGGTTTTTAAATGTTTCAGATGGTTTGAATCAACACTTACCTCAGCCCCACCATGGGAATACATGAGCCCTATATTAAATAATAATAATAATAATGGTATGAAACATCAAGATACGTTTAATAGTAATATTAATAATATACTCTTAATTAGGCATTGTAACATTTATTCAAAATAGAGACAAAACATGGGGCTTTTCCTCCTATTTCTTAAAATCTAGAATAAAAATATTTTGTTTATAATATAAACAAAAAAAAGTTGATTGCATTTTAGGTCTCTCCACTTTATTCAACATTGACACATGAAGGTCTAATTTTTACCTTGAAGTCTATTAAATGAATGTACATTTTAAAGTACTGTTGAAGCCATTGTATACATCATTGATTGTTTATAAAAGGGCAGAGGTTAAAGGTGGATAGTAATGACAGTTAGGTCATCTGATCTGATGGATAAAAAAAAAAGAAAATAGAATGTAGATAGAAATCTTGCAGATACTGTAGGAAATGCTCCCATTGGCTATTTTTTTCAAAGATGCATGACCAATATTCACATTAATTTAATGTAATGAGATTTCACCTGAATAGCTACAGTAGTAGTAGTTTGTTTTAAAACTAATTGTACTTTTTTATTAAAACTTTAATACATTTAGAAAATTTTAAGTGTATCCAATTTTTGACTTGCAATGCTCATACTTTGAAGTGCAGTTGCATATAATAAATGACAAATTAATAAAAGAGTAGGTAGAGCCATGTTAGTCTGGTTCACGTACAGTATTTTATAATAAAAATACTGGTAGCACATAGATTAACTGGGGTCATGGTAGAATAGAAGTGTCCTTGTCGCAGTCCTGGTTAAGGTCAATTCTACTGTACCACCACCACACAGTGGGACATGATAAGAAGAAGACTAACTTTAAATTGTTTATTTTCATACACAAGTGCTTAAATGAAGCCAGCATAGACTGCTGGCAAAAGCTTATGTAATAAACAATTTAAGTACCAGGTAATAGTCTATCATAATATAAAGTGCTACCATTGTTTTTATTGTATAATTTAATAATATAGAAACTATGTTTTATCAGCACAATGTTGTTGGCTAGCAAAATGATCTTCCAATGAAAAAAACATCTGTTCCCGGTTTTTCAAATTTCACTTTTTTTGGTCTATTTTACATTTTTTTATATAAATTTATATAAAGAGTAATTTTTTTTTTTTTTTTTTTTTTTTTTAATCTGTTTCTGTATTGGTTTTTGAGAGCCACTTGACACAGTGTATTTTAGTATACTTTTAGTTATTCTGTCTTCCTGTGTTTGGAACTGTTTGTGTGTATAATTGAGACAAAATAAATAAAATGATGTTTATATATTGTATAATTCTACAGAGCCAGAAATTGTTTCAATATACCCATTAGACTTTGATGATGAGGGCTGCAAGAAGGAGTTGCCTCGTTTCTGCTTCCCATGTGATACAAGGTAAGCAGGCATTTTATAGTAAAGTATGACCATAGATATAGTCTTACTATGAAATGAGACACATCGTTGGTGAAATCATTGAGATATTCACTAAAATAGGTCAAAGTCAGAATTTATACCAAATTTTGATTTTAATGTTTTTGAATAACTTGATACTTATATTTTTTTGTGATTGTTGTAAGCTTTTAAGTGAATTTTCCTACTAAACTGTGTTCTCTGCACATATTCTGTAATTGTAGTCCTACACTGTATTATTTATGTTCAGTTTATCTTTGAGACTGATTTTCTCAAAACATAGTTCTCATACACCTAAACTTTAAATGCTCAAGTCTGTTGATCTACAGTACTTACCCTAGGGAAGCCATTCAAAGAAATTTAACCAGTCATACCAGTCTCATGGTTGTGAGAGCAGCTTAGCTCAGTCTGCTAATCTGGTGGTAGCCACTGTGTGTGTGCGCTGAACTGTGAAGATCTCTAGGTCCCTGGTTCAATTCTCATCGCTGCCTCTCCTTGTGTTTCAGCTAGAAGGCTGAAATACAAGTTATAATAGCGCACTGTCTTTCAGATGAGATGTTAAGTCGTTGGTCCCGTGTGCATTATGGCCCATGTGCACGTTAAAATAATGCAGTATGGAAAAGAGTAGGGCATTTTTTTCTCCCGGTGTACTGCCCAATAATCACCAGAAGGACCCCACTGAAAATAAGTCTTCTTCTAGACTTTTGTTGGCTATCCTTGGTGTTTACATTGAATAAATGCAATCCAAAGACCAAATTGAAGCTTATGATGTGATCTACTCAAATATAAATAACTTAATTTTTTATTTTCTAACCATGAGACTGGTATGACTGGTTAATTTTCTGTAACTCTTCTGGAATCTGTTTGCAATGTAGACACATTGTTCATTACTGATAATGATCTAATAAAAGATTGAAATATTCAATCACACTGACAAGTCGTACTTTATTTGGCTTATGTTTCATACTAAAGTTATCTAAAACTCATCAGTGGACATATTGGTTTTTGATGTTTGTTCATTTTGTAAAGGTTTACAAGATAGATGCTAGAAAAATGTAAAGTGGTATTTGTTATGGAGGGCGGGATAATGTGCACATATGTCCCCATGTCCACAAAAAAATGTTGCTTGCTGGTTAAAATTTAGTTGTTTGATCTTTTAAAATGAGCCAATCACGCTTTTAATTGAATTGTGTATATTTTGTGAGGCAGATACAGGGCTGTAAAAAGTTGGTGGTTCTGGGACTTGAGTATTTTAGGGCTGGGCTAGCAAAAAATACATTAAAACTAGACCATTATTCAATAGCTGATATATAAGGGCTAGCAATTATTTTGGCAAAACTAGACATAAAAATCACTTCAGTCAGACCTAGTACTAGTTGAGGGGATGGGTCATTGCACTATTAAAGTAGTAAGTGTAGGCCTTCTGTACATGTCCCTATAATAAGTGATGGTTAATAGTCTATAATATATAATAATTCGATGAATCATTTAACCATTCATAGCTCTATTTAAAGTATGTTTCCTGCAACCTACAATTCAGCCAACAGTAGTACAGTATTATTCAAAACCGTTCTACTACAAGCAAGTTAGTTTTGTTTACCCAACAGGCATGATTTTTGTGACATCATTTTTTGGACTTGTTTTCGATACTATTATGATAAGGCACTGGAACTCATTTCTTCTTTTTACATTTGTTGTATGATTTTTGTTTTGTCAACTGATCTTTTCCTAGTTAACTTGACATTTCTTGTTTGAGGTTTAAAGAGTATTAACAATTGAGTCGATTTTCTAGTTTAGTTATGTGTATTTATAACTTTCTATCTTTTCCAAAATGTTTTGAAAGTTTTTTTTTAAGTTTTGTGAATATTTACTGTATATTATCAGTGTGTTTCTTTTTCTGTGTTATAATAGTAGCATCATTTTTTGTAGTATAATTATTTGTCAATTAATAATTATATTAAAATTTATAATGTACTATTTGCTAATTAAATGATAATGATTATAATAAGATTAATAGTAGATGGAACCATGTAAATCTGGTAGACATATGAAATAAACATTTTAACAAAATGATAATGAAATTGTTCATTTTTTAATTAAAATCCTATAATAATTTATGGTAAAAGCAATGATAATTAATAATAAAAATACATTAATGAGGCCTATAATAAATGAGGATCATATTTACTAACACTTTAGTTTAGTATTTGGAAAAGCAAGTTATTTTAGTATGTTTAATTTTGAATGTTCAGCCCAATACATTGTTAAGTGATATACTGTAAACAGTGTTTACAAATGTTCAGAAGTATAAACTGTCTAATTTATGAGAATATAATCCATAATCCAGAGAATATACAATTATGGCTCAGTTTTGTTCTTATATTTATGTTGGCTGTAGTTCTGACTCTCATTTCCTGTCGTAGTACAGTATCTACTAATTCCATTCAAATTAGTTCCTTTATAGTGTTCCTCTTCTCACTATTTGTGTCAGCACCAACTCTGTTCTGAGAAGCTTCATTGTCAGATAATATTGTTTTTTATTATCATCTTACGGCTCATTAATTGTATTTGCATATTGTAGCACTTTTGGTAATTACTCTGTAAATATTTTTATTCCTGATGATGACTTAATAAAGTCGAAACGTTGAGTAAAATGGCCTCACTTTCTCTATTTGGAGTCACTTTTGTTTTATTTTATTTGAACATAGTCAGTGCACCTTCTGATATTGTTTTAATTTTATTGGAATTTTGTAACAATTCTTTGACTATTTTAATTTACACATGTACAGTACTGCACAAAGAGGAAGAAAACATTTCCAGGTGTTTTTGAGGGAAAACCTATTGCTAGAATACTGTACCTTTAAATCCAATTCTGTGAATTTTAACGATAATTTTTTTTTAAATGTTTAACCCAGGAATTCTGGCTCATAAAAATGTTCACCTCTTCTCCCATTTTTTTTATAATAAAAAATTAATCGATTTGTCTTTTTTATTGTCAGAAAAAAATTGTAAACATGAAAATACACTATCTCATCTATGTTTGAAATTACAAGATCCTCAAATTAAGAATAATACCTTGCTAGAGGCAGTGTGAAAAAAAATTATCCCTCTCTCTTTTCGGACAAGTACAGTATGGATTTCTTGTCATCAGGTGCCTCTTGAGGGTATCACTTATAAAAAAAGAAAGAAAAATTAATTTGTCAATCCAACCAAAGTTATTTTGATACGTAGCTAAAAATGTTATCTTAAACCATAAGATCCTTTCCTTCCAACCATGGTTCTAGCAACCATTAGTTAGGACACTGTGTCAGACTTGTTGAGAACCTTGTCAGAGAAACCAGCTGTATCATATTTATCTTGTTGAATATTAATTACCATTCTGGAGTACAAATAACACAATAATGATGGTACTATTAAAATCATTATGTATACTCCAAATTTGATATAATTTTAACCTTTCTAAAAAAAATAGTTCTGGTTCTGATGGTGGATAAGGACAGTGCAAACTGTCGGCCGGCCAGGCACGCTATTTGCTTATGTATACTTTAAAGAACTATTCATTTACATACCCACGAAGGTAATCCTAGCTAGAAGTATTGTGTTGTTTTTGAATGTTTTTACCACAAAAATGGACAATGTAAAATTGATTAACATTTTTTGGTGTATGTTCAGATACCGTGAATTTCCACCAGTTTTACACCAAGAAAATGAGTATATTAACATGATCAATGTACGGAAATAGTTTGTTCGATTTTAGTATTGAATTGGGTACTTTCAGGATTGGGTGGAAAGAGATGACAAGGATAATTGCTTTCCCCAAGGACAAATAGTCAACAGTCTGTAAAGTAATCTGTTTCAGGTTTCAAGTAGAAGAAAATATATAAGCTATTGCTTTCCAAAATAAAATCAGTGGTAAATAATGATACTGTATGTACAGTGGTAGCATCCTTCAGCAGGCACATTTTGTACTTGGGGCCCGTTCGAGCGAAAAAATATCAGTGCGATTTACCAGTTAATTCACCGGTACACACTTTCTAAAACCGCTCGGACACTAGCCTAATTACCTTACCATCTGGATTATCTGTGACAATCTTGACTACCAAATTGCTGGGTAGAATACCATGTATGGAATGACCATGGAGCCGGAGGCAATGATAAATCAAACTTAATTGTTTTTCCAAATGTTTTGTCCGCAGCCCGGTGCGAAATTTAATAGGTTACGCGGCCCAGGCATGGTTGCAGGCAGCTCTTCTTTGCCTCCTCACACATGCATGACGAAATCTAAATTTAGTACTATAGCTACGCGATCGATTTGTAAATTTACCATTAATAAACTTGAATAAACTAGCCTACGTACAGATTTTAAAGCAGCCATTATAAGTTATTGAGCTACATTATCATTCGACCGTGCCGCGCTATGTTATAGCAGCAGTAGCAAGTAAACAAAGAATGGGTTGTTCACAATGGGACAAGTTGAAATTTACTTTCGGAGTAGTTTCGTTACACATATTTACCGTGAGCTAAAACTTTGCTCAAACGGTCGACCACTCGCTGAGTGCTCAGCGTGATTACCCAGTGAATAAACGGAATACAGTTAGCGTTTTTTGCTCGAACAGGCACTTGGTGATTCTTCCAAAAATAATGAGACAAAATTTTGGCAAATTGGTGATCTGTGAATCTCTTCTTTCAAATTAAATTTTGACAAAGTGTGAATGATAAATACCAATACAAATTTGTTGCTGTAAAGTCCTATAAAAAAATTATTAGTTTATCACTATAACAACTCCCTGGTTAATCACCCTATCTAGGCTAGAAACGTGATGAGGAAGGGAGACTTTTTATTTGTTATTTTTTTATCTTATAAATAAAGCCTTTGAACTGTTTGTTGGTGATTAATATTAAAATTTAAAAATGATGGAATAGAAATCTTTCTTTATTCTGGATACTCAGTCAGTATTCTTACACTGTTCTTCCCTGAGGTCCAGGATATTATCTTAAACTACATTATATTACAAAATAAAATTAAAAGAAAAATGCATAAAAATATAAAAACAGTATATATATAATTATATATATATATAGATTATAGATTATATAAATACAAGAAACAGAAAAGAAAACTAAAAGGGGAAATTAAATGAGATTTTTTGATTTTTTTATGATGGCAATAATACAAACAGTATCAACTAACTATTTACTGAAAAAAATGAAAAATTTTCACCAAAAAAATGGGGTTTTTTTCCCAAAAAAAAAAATAAAAAATTTCCAAAAAACATTTTTTCCCCAATACATAGAAGCCATTGGCCTAATGTTTCTATTAAAGCCTTTTTTCCGATTAAATCGCTATTTATATACAGTATGTGTATATATATATACTGTATATATATATATTTATAATATATATATATATATTTATAATATATATATATATATTGTCCTCACACTGAGGAAGAACACATGAGTGTTTGAAATATTTGTGACTTAATAAAGTATATTGTTTCTAGTATATTTTTTACATAGTGTCTTAGCTATTTTTTACTGTCTTTCTATATATATATATATATATATTATGAAGCTTTTACTCATCTTCAGACATACAGTATTCCTTTTGTTTTCAATAATGGCAATTTACGTAAGTTTATCCCCAGCCGTATGTGACGCATCATGTAATAAGGCGCTGTGTGACACGCTGCACACAGCTGGAGATAAACTTAGGAGTAGAGTTAACCCACTTTACAATTCAGTGATACAGTTTTTGTCTGTGGATAGTTTTATCTTGTGGTGCTAGTATCTGGCTCTCATCCATTCTGGCAATTTTGTTGAACCTAGTGTTATTATATAGCAGCATGCAGTACATTTTTTCAGATATTTATTTTCTTAGAAAATTTAATATTGTACCATAGTATTTATACCTCATCATGTTTATTCTCGCTTTTCAGATGCTATTTCTGCTGATTGTTAATGTTGTCTTGGCCAAATAAATTAAAATGAATTCACAGGCAAATGCTGCACATACCGATGGACAATAACTTTATAAAGGTTTATTGTCCTCAGAGAAAGGACAAAAGCATTAAAGGGAAAATTACGCTGTCATGATTGACACTGTTTTTATTATCCAATAATTTTATTTTGGCAAGCTAGGGATTTTTAGCTATAAGGTTTGGTAAAGTGTATTACTGGTAGTAAACAATATATCAGCTCTTGTTGTCTACTGTCTAAAGTTCTACAATCATATCCCTCCTGCTAGAATAATACTTTGTCTTTGATGCATTTATATTAAAGTAGCTTTGGGTTGATAATTTTTTTTGTGACTCTGATTTTCAAGGAAATGGCCAACTGTATACAATAAAAAGGGAAGTTATGTTACACACACACACTTCAGGAGTTAATTAATTAGGGAAAGGATGATATTTCCCATGAATACTATAGATATATCAGTATTATATGTTAATACTAATTGTTGTTGCTAATGATTATTATTGACTGATGTCATTGTTAAATGTTATTACTTTTTTATGTATTATTTTTATTTTAGAAACTAATCTGATCAGTACAATATTAAACTATTGTGCTTAATACTGATTGAATGCTTAGTTCTATACATTGTAATTAATTTTTAGCACAGTTTATTTTTATGATCAAGGTTGTCCTATAATATTTTGCTTCATACTGATTGAATGCTTAGTACATTGTTTAATTAATTTTTAGCACAGTTTATTTTTATGATCAAGGTTGTTCTACTTTCACCTCCCCAACATTTCATTCTCTTTTCCTCTTTTTCTGCCAACTATCTTATGAATTCCTCTCAAAGTTTTAAGCTCATTAGCATAATGTGTATCTTTAAAGCATTTTTAAAGATATGAAGTATCCTAAAGAAAAATACTGGTGGTACTGTTCATAATAGTTAACTACTGTATACTGTAGGTATTGCTAATTGTCCACATTACTCTTGAACCTTGCCCTGTCTTACTCTATATAGACTATACAGTAGATAGTGTAACATATAAATCTGAATCTGTATCAGTCATTGCCTTTGATTATGCCTTAATGCAAAAATGATCAGATATTGGTTAACTATATACTGTAGGATTTTTCCTAATTGTCCACATAATACTATTACTGTGCATAGGTTTTCATGTTTAAGGTCACTTCAACCATGCCCTGTGTTGTATGGATTGTGTAATCTATCTGAATCTCACCTGTCCTTAGATTGCACCTGTAAGGTTTAAGGACCTTAAAATAATGTAAAAAAATTGGTCGAGATAATTGATTACGGTACTGTAGCGTTTCCTGATTGTCCACTTATACTGTCCATATCTGTAGGTTTCTATAATAAAGATCACTTGAACCTTGCCCTGTGTTGTTATGGATGTTGTAACTACAATATTAATGTATCTGAATCTATATAACCCTGGCCTTCCATCGTGTCTTGTAAACTTGTCAGATGGGACATTTGATTACTGTACAGTACTAACAGTATTGTATAGGTTTCACAAGGCAGTCATAATTTAAGCATTAAAAGGACTATGATATGAAAATAAATGCTTTAAATACTATATAAATAGATTTTACTATAGGAAGTCAATATTTAAACAATTAATGTCAACTGTGTATAAAAGTTATGCTTCAAATAGAATTCATGAGGTGTCATTCACCATTTATAAATATTAATTGTTACCAGGGTTTGCTTTTAATATTCATATCACCAGTATAATCACTTCATAAATGGAATATGCTATAGAAATCGTTGTTTTATTTGCTGTGCTACAGTACAATTAGATTTTACTAGGACAGCCATCATTTCAACATTTAACTGTGGTGGGAAGTCGTTTTTTGCAATATTTTCATACTTTCTTTTAGCTGGGTAATTGTTTAAAAGAAACTTTGTTAAGAGCATCATTGCATTCATTACATAGATTTCACCAGGGGAGTAATTTAAACATTTATAGGGACTATGAGCCCAATGACACTTAGGGGCCGCTTGAGGGAAAAAACATCCGTGTGATTTACCAGTTAAATCACTGGAAATACTTCCTAAAAGGACACTCGTCTAATTACCATTACCATCTGGATTATTTTCGACAATTTTGACAACCAAATTGCTGGATAAAATACAGTGTATGGACTGTCTCTTATACACATCTAGATGTGTATAAGAGACAGGTATTTATACCTCATCATGTTTATTCTCGCTTTTCAGATGCTATTTCTGCTGATTGTAAATGTTGCCTTGACCAAATAAATTAAAATGGATCCACAGGCAAATGCTGCACATACCGATGGACAATAACTATATAAAGGTTTATTGTCCTCGGAGAAAGGACAAAAGCATTGAAGGGAAAATTACGCTGTCATGATTGACACTGTTTTTATTATCCAATAATTTTATTTTGGCAAGCTAGGGATTTTTAGCTATAAGGTTTGGTAAAGTGTATTACTGGTAGTAAACAATATATCAGCTCTTGTTGTCTACTGTCTAAAGTTCTACAATCATATCCCTCCTGCTAGAATAATACTTTGTCTTTGATGCATTTATATTAAAGTAGCTTTGGGTTGATAATTTTTTTTGTGACTCTGATTTTCAAGGAAATGGCCAACTTTAGTTTATACTAGCTTGCAAAAATAAGGTGAATTAAAGGTGATTTTTAACTACTTTTTAGCGTGATTATTTTGTGGGGGGGGGGCGCAAGTATTTTTCAGGGGAAAGCACCTCTGCACATCCTTCACCCCTAGATACGCCACTGGTATACAGTAACTTTCATGTTTTGTAATGCGAGTGCAGTTTTGTGTCAAAAGTGCTATCCCCACAACATCATGTTAATTGACTAGAATGGCAGTGCCAAGCACCAAAATGGCAAGGCCAAGGTTAACCACCAAAAAGGATTACTGCAATATAGGCCTACTATAAACAACAAAAACCTTGAAAATTTAGGTCAATTAGGTAATGTTTTTGTTTTAGTTATTTTCATTGTTGTATTATAGTAGGTTTTTTTATTATGTACATTGAAGTGATAATAAAAGCATCTGAATATCAATTTACTATTAGAGGTTTTGGTATTCTGTTTTGGCAGAAATGGGTTAATGTTTTAGTTATTTTGGTCATTAATTTGTTATTTTTGTTTACACAGCTATTCTGGTTTTTTTCGTCATATTTGGGAAAAAATAAGTTTTCGAGTTATCAAGGTTAGATTTATGGGGACCAAGCCGGTCCTGGCCCCTCAGAGTGTAATGAAAAAAGGAAAAAAATTAAAAAGAACCACTTCAGAGGCTATTTCAAGGCATCTGGAAAACAAAAATTAATTACTGTTGTCTCTCTGTAGGCTCCCCCCCCCCTCTTTTCAGGGACATTAATTGTATAATTTTTATATGAGTTGATTACATTTATCAAATCACAATTTGAAGCATATTAAATGTTTGCATTTACTTTGTTATTATAGTTTTACTCCTGCTGGTCAGTTGTTCACATTTGTGTTGACGGACATTGAAAGCAAGCAAAGGTTTGGATTCTGCCGGCATCCACCAGGAGCAAAAACTTGTCTCTGCATACTAAGGTAAAAAATAAATATGATTCCAAGTGAGATGCTGACGTCAAAGAATAACACGAATGCATTTATTTTCAAGAAACTCGTAAAATTCATTCTATCATGAAATTCATTGTCAATATTTTTAAGACCATCACCATTTTCATCTTCACTTTCATCAATAGCATACTGTCTTAATTATCATCAAGATTATCGTCAGTTTCATCAACACCAAACACCACTGATATCATTGACTAATATCATTGTCATCAGTATCATTGTTATCAGCGTCATTGTCGCAACATCTTGCGCCATAATTATCATCATCGTCTTGTATCATTTTTAATATGCATTCACATCTTCATCTTTATCTAAAATTGTAAAGAACAGTCAACATAATAAAATCATCTCCATTATCATCAAACTAAATTGTTGGCGTATTAAAACATATTACTGATAGTTCATGGTGATTAAATGAATTTACAATAATAAAACTTACAATAATAAAAAGAGTAATGATGATGAGGATGATGCATGAAGGAACTATGTGTTTCACAGTAAAGAAAATGAATGAATAAATGACCTAAAGTAAGCATCGAACGTCATCAGCGTCATCATCAACGTTTCATAATATTTATACATTTACACTCGGTATAGCTTTGGCCACAGGATCTGATTCATGCAGTCTAATCAGATCGCATTTACTTCCTCTAACATGTTTAAAGAGGAATTCCCGCTTGTTTACATGATCATTTCCAGTGAGACTGCATTCAGCCTTTCCTGCCCATTAAAAATGTAAACGTCTTTGAGTGTAAATCATGCATTGTACTGTGTTAAAAAGCGTAGCCATATTTATTGTCAGCTGATCTTAAGAATGCATGTTATACCGATGATCTATTAATATTAAGCGACTGCTGCTTTAAGCGATAGATGTCATTGCCTTGATTTAACCAGAAAAGCCATTTTGATTGTAATACAATGACTCTCTGCAAATACAACCCTGAATCATTTTTATTTTATACAGAGAATAATAATTTTGACATATTATAGTGATTTCCGTGTGTACAGGTTAAGCAAAATGCAACAAATAGAACTAGAAATATTCAAGATTATAATAAGTTTGGGTTAAAAGTGCCATAAGGCTTCTTTTTATAAACTTCAACTTTTTTTATTATCTCAAAGTAACTTATCTGCAGTAACAAAAACATTTTAAATCAATTTAAATAAAATCATAATTGAATAAATACACTTTTTATTTATAAAAAGCAGTAAAATTTTGCCCGGGTTCCATGTTCTTATTATTTGGCCGATTTCAGGCTTTTAAAACTAACTTTGTACTTATTTTTTCACACTTTTCAAACACAGAAATTTTTTTTGTACACAGTATATCTGTACTGTCTATAGAGGGTACAGTATTATATTGTCACCCCAACTACAAACTAAGTTGCAGATAAGTGTTTGTCTTTCATGGACTATACTCTGGAGTAACTTTTTTTTTGCACTGAACCAAAAATATGTGAATGTGTGTTAAATATTTATGTAATATAGTATTTTGCATTTTCTTGTGCATCATTTTATGTCTATTAGGATTACTATTGTTATGTGCGCTAAGGGACAATCTGTGCATTCCTATACAGGAAATTGTATCAAAGAAGGAAAAGGGATTGAGTTGGAAAGTTCTATTTAGCTAGACTGCAATGGAATGAAATGCTTATTAACCACCTTGCAAGTCGCAGCTGTGTAGCATTTAACTTAAAATTAAGAAGAATCAGGAACATGATGAATTGTGTGTACAGGGAGTGTCTGGCCTTGGACCTATACCTGCACCATTTGTAATGCTTTTGCATAATGTGTAATTGTTGCTATCCCTTTAAACATCTTCCTGATACTTTTCTTGTCTGTTGACCATCAAAATGAGAGTACACCACATCCTCTGCAGGATTAGTAATCTTTTATTATAATATAGGCCTGTACATTATGACACTGTCTTTCAATCAGAATGTCATGCTATTGTACTGTACAATGAACATGCTGTCTTTTATACTAACAATATGAACAAATTGCATTATAAGTAGCTATGACCAATATGTGTCTGTATTCCCATGTATATAGTGGGGGTGTGTGTGTTAAAGTATTTAATAATAATATTGAATATATATATTTTTCTTTCAGTTATTTACCATGGTTTGAGATTTTCTACAAAACTCTGAATACTCTTGGTGAATTACATAATAAGTCACAGGTTTGTTTATTATTAATTGTTTATTAATAGTATTATTCTTGGCTTAATGATTAGAATTATTTATTTAATAAATGTTTCCGGTACACCATATAGTTTTGCAACAGACTACTGTGTTGTTGAGAATATCTTGACATCTCAAATAGATTGCATCATCCATTGTTGGCAACTTTCTCTTTTGTGTTGTCACTATCTATGACATTATCACTGTTCATTTTTGCACTTGAGAGACCAAAGATTTCCCCCATTGACCTGGTATTACACGTTATACAGTAAATCTCAACTACAAACCTCCCAAGTACATGCTCTTAATTTGCGGAAATGACATCATTAAAAATGATCTTTTTGAACAAACATAATGAAACGTCAGTGTATTAGTACATAGAACATACCAACAATATTTTAGTTTGCAAAAAAAAGGGAAAAAAAGAAGTCCATGGATTGGCTTTGCATAGGATTCTGTTCAAAATAATACATTACATACCTGTACATGAATTTCAAAAAACAAAAATTAAAAACAAGCTTAGTTTATACAGTAGTTTAGGTGATTTAATACCAGTTAATGTAATCCATGATACAGATTAATGTTACAGTGGCATTATTTATTGTTTTGTAGTACAAATTCCCAAAATTTACGGCATTCATTTTTAAAAGAAGCCCGCACCCCACCCCACCCCCACCCCATTTCTTACTTTGCAAAAGTAGCCACGAAAAGAAGCCCATCCAAAGTTCGCAAAATAAATAAGCCCAGGGCTTCAAATCGAGGTTTTACTCTGTTACTCTAGAATATACAGTATCAGATAACTTTATTACTCATATTTCATAAACCAGGTGGATGATGTACACCTTGTGCTTAATGAATTGTATAAAATGGACGTGCCACAACCAGGCAGTGTATTGCATATGATAGAGGCTGAGCAGTTATTGGTAAGTTCGTATATTAGACATGAGGTATTCATCCATATTCAAAATAATTAATAAGTATTTATTAACATTAACAATATATAAATAATAACTAAACTAGAACAATTTAATCTGGTTTTTGGTCTGGTTTTGTTGGTTGATCAAAAAGAAAAACAAATAATAATATCACTGCTAGAAAACCTAATTTAAATATTTTATTTTGTTTTTGATTATAAAAATATGTGTTAATGTAATTTAACTGTGAATGTGAATTTCATATCATTTATATGATTGAAATTAATTGAACTTAAACTCATTAATATACAAAATAAGTTTATGAATACAGTATATAAATTTATATTATTTTATTCTGTGTTGTGAATATGTACACTGGCCAGAAAGCTTATTTTCTGTACATAAAATATGACAAAATATATTAACAAAGATGCTGAGATCTCATTGTATATGATGAACTCAAAATGAAATAATTTAATGAATATTAGTTTGATGTTAAATTGACATTCAATTGTAGTTCTACCAAATATATTGAAGAACAGCATGATAGTAGCTAGTACAATATTTAAAATGTGAATTAATATTTTTCTTTTATTGCTTTACTTTTAGGACCTACACAACTTAAAGGTTCCTGATCCAAATAGTTTACCGAAAGTACCAGAAAATGTGAGTTTTTATTTTGTTATTCTACCATTAGGGAGTTTTCGCTGCACTACGTTAACCTTAACTTTAACGGATGACGTCATAATTTATTCATCTTGCGTTGCAGAGTACGTTAATTTCAGGATCTTACATGCTCGACGTACATTAGTTACGGGTTTGCGCATGCGTATTTCGATTTGTTTACAAAAGGGGCGGAGTTATCGCGTTGCATGTTGGGTACTAACGTTAAAGTTAAGGTAAACTCCCTATTATTTAACTGTTTAATTTATAACATTCATAAAAAAGTTAACTCAGACTCCTTTTTCTCATATTTTTTTTTCTTTTACATCTCCTAGTTTATCTTACTGATGCTTATTGTAAAAAATATAATGGAGCTAAAGAATAATAGAGTGAAGTTGTATATATTTCTCATTGGTTTTCCTTTCTTTATGGTTCATTGATTATATCCTGTTATTTAATAGGTGCAGTAGTTTATCTAATGCTATAACCATGCTATAACCCACCATTTCTTGTGCAATCATGTTTTAATATAGGGTATCCCCTATTGTTATCTATACGTGCTCCATTATCTCTGCATTGCTTAATCGTCTTCCTATATGTGACTCAAGTACATTCTTGTATTACACTGCTATACATTTCTCAAGTACAGCAATATTAATTACAAAATTCCTTATATTTAAATTACAACTGAAACATTACTATAAAATTCACAGTTTCTAATAGTAGCCAGTCACAAGTTATAAAATTATTATAATTTAACAAGCCTTTTCTGAGAACCTGTCTTATAGGTTAATATGCATAAACATGAGGTCATACTGTATTGTATATATCGTTTTGGTATGAGTGCTTCGAGCTAATGATTGTGACGTTGCTTCTAATCGGGTTTAAATTTGCCTTAGTGGCCAAGTTATATAAGAAGGTATATTTATATTATTCTAATGACCCCAAGTTTAATTCAGGTTGAGTTGTCATTTTCAGTCTCACATATTTCCAGATCTATAGTCTTCTGTTTACAGTTTTATAAAATACAATTATAAAGCAAAGAGAATCATAACTAATAATTTATGCAATTTAGAAATACCTAGAGGATATACTATATACATAAATGTCATTAATTACTGTATAAATAGCAGTCAAATTATTCTACATAGAAAGTTGGAAAAATAATTATTTTCTTTTATATTGTATTAGAGTAATATTTAAGAATTTTAAAGTCATGTTTGCATAACATAAAATATGTTGAATACATAAGTATGTAGTATGTTTTGATGAAAGTGTAAAATAGCTCTCTTATGTTACATTGTCATAACATTGAAGTAGACATAATCAGTGACTTGCTTCGTGTGACCTTTAGTTCATACTATGGTATAAACAGACACAGTGAGGGAAGCTCAATGGGAAATTGCATGGCTTCTTCAGAGTGTTTCTGCTGTATTATATGGCACATTTATAATGTGCTCCAGCCTGGTTCTCGCAAGAGCCATAGTATCCGGATCGGGAGCTAACCGTTAGCACCTGCGTGAGAATGCCCGATCGGTTAGCGCTAACCATTAGCAGTATCCGGATACCGCTAACGGTTAGCAAGTTGAGCGCGTTTCTATCATCAACCAATCACACGTACGTGTTTACAATTTCCAGTATCTTATTGGCCAGTGATTCGATCATCATATTTTTGGTATCCGGATCGGGATTTTCTTGTATGGACGCACGGCAGCTAACGGTTAGGATCCGGACCCTGCTAACTGTTAGCAGCCGTATGAGAACATAGCCACTATAATGTTGGTTCGAATGCTAGTAAAGGTTAAAGGTTATGCAATTATACCGCACAAAATACGAGGGTCTCTATGCGCAAAATAAGTGAACAGATGTAATTGGAAAAACAAGGAAAGAACAACTCAAAGCCAGTACCGAAACAAGAACAATTTTAGGCTAGCACTCGGCTCAAGGAGCATCCGAATATGTTTAGAGAATGAGTTTTATTTTCAACAATTATAATTTTAAATTGCTTTTCCTTGACATTTATTTTGCACATTATCATAACATTTCCTTGTACCATATTTTTTTTATACTAATCACATTGTATGTTAAATATCACAGGATCAACTAGTAGTTTAGGGTCAAAGGTAAGAAGAAATTATAGACTTTCTAAGGGAAGTAAATATAAGGATGTTAAATATTATGTTATTGAATGTTTGTAATGAAAGGTAATAAAAATTAGCTGTATTAGTCAGTAAAATAAATTACAGTAGCGCCTTTTTTGACCATGGAGGTATTATAGTATAATACCTCCATATTTTGACTACTGTAATGAAATTTATTGAGACATGAGCTTGATCTAATTTGAGCTAGCTTCATCAGGTGAAAAGACAATGAAAGAATAACATAAGGGCCAGTAATAGAGTACAAATTTAAATATACAGAATGTTGCAGCCACTTTCATGGTATTCAGTAAAAAGAGAATATGGAAATATCATAAATTTGATTCAAAGGTAACTTAGAGATTATTATCACATCAAATGAATTTTAGCAGAATATGAATATTATTTGTGACTTCTGTAAATTTTTGCTAATAAAATAATGGCTATAGTTACAAATTGCTATCGTAAAATCAGATTTACCGTACAGTATGCCTATGCCTAGCATATGAAAATAATCCAATTTTTTTTATCTAACTCAAGTCTACAATACATGTGCAGATATTCTTTTACACAATAGTTTACTTTCCTTTAAAATGAGATGAAGATTGATAGGTTTTCTCTATGATCTTCTTCACTTATGTTGACATCATTATATCCACAGAGGAATATAACTGAATACTTCAATGCAGTCAACCCAAATATTATGATGCACATCTTTGCCAGGTGAGCATAATTGATTAATCCCATAAATGTTACTTTTTGTGGTATATAGTTGCAGCACCAGTGGGAAGTCAGAGGAAAATTTTTCTGTCAGACAAGCCTGGACCCCCTGTAATCAGATGCCACTTGATGTCTTGTTTATACCATAATAGTTACCTGCCTAGTAATTTTCTGTATCCAAAATTTTTTCTGAATTTAGTACTTAATGTTGTGGTTTAAAAGAAAAAGTTTCATCTTAAATCCATAAAATCTTTCCCAATCACCTCCATCAGCTTTGACTAGAGGCCTAGGCAGTCCCATGGTTCAGTTCCTGTATCAGACATGTTTGACACCCTGTCTGACAAACAATGGTAAAATTCAGAAATTGGAGAGAAGAGTTTTAAGTAATATAAAATTGAGTTAATCCTGAGGAACCTGCAGTGATAGTAACATCCCTTGCGATAAATTGGGCTATGTGCTAGAAGATTATCCCTAAACTCTTTCACAAAAAGTGCTGTATTATTTAACATGCACATGGCAAAAATATCTCTTCCAAATTTTGGTGCGCTTAATGAAATGGAAATTTGAAATTATGCTCATTAATAATGCATACATGCTATTACAGCTTAAAATCCCAACTGACAAACACTAAGATAACAGATAGCAAAATTAGATAATAAGCTACATCTAAAATATAGTTAATTTGTGGATTTTTATTTTCTCTTGTTTGATACTATGTATATTTTTTTTAATATGAACTATGTTTCTTGTTCCTGGTAAACATTATGTCAACTAATTGTAATATCTTGTTCACTTCTATCAAAACCCAGATTTGTTTTTAACAATAATATTGTTTTTAATTATGGCCATGAGAAACAAAATATAGTACCAATTTCATGACTTATGAAAGCTCATTAAATAATAAAACTATGAAACTTGTAGAGTTCCTACTAATTAATATGTTAATGTATTTTTGTATAGTTTACTCTATGAACGAAGGGTTCTTATAACATCTAGACGCTTAAGTTTAGTAAGTACTTTTCAAATATATTCACTTCGTTATATGGTCATTAACATTTTTTTTATAAGAAGTTTGATATTTGTCAGTAGGCTTAATATTTCAGATATGCAAGCCTTTTCTGACCATACAAAACAAATTTTAGTGGACAATCAAGAATAAATATCAATTTTTTCCTTCTTTATTCAATCATTTAGCTCTATACCGGTACTGAACACTCTACCCTAGTTGATCTTGATATTCATACAAGTTATACTGCCCCCTCCGATGATACCGGGTGTAGAGTTTTTAGTAAATCGTGAAGGTGGCAGCAACTTAAAACTGTTCAAAGTTCCAGGAAGGAAAATCATTATTATATACAAAGTAATATATGTTTATGAGTCCAATAGGATAGAATATTTTTATGAGGTGATGGAATGTTCCATTAAGCTATATCAACAATTTGAAAAATTGAAACATTCAATATATGTTTCATGCAATACCAACTCTTGAAGAAGTTTTTCATTTGTTAGGGGGATTTTTATTGCCCATGTCGATTGTACTCTTTGGGTCAAAATTTCAATGGCATTGTTTCACTGACGTACAATTTATTGACTGGAACTAAACTGCACAGAAAAATTGGCAAATGAAACAAATTTTTAATTGTGTAATGTACTTTTTTATTGAATGGAACAATTTATTTTTCGCACATGACTCATAATCAACTAATCAGATGAAATAATCTAATTGGGTGTTTTATAGTATTGTTATCCACTTTATAGTAAGTGTTGGTATAAACTAACTGTATTGTTGTTTTTATTCCAGCTTACTGCCTGTATTCATGGTGCTGCACAGCTGATATATCCACTACACTGGCAACATATATTTATACCGGTGATGCCGCCCCACCTACTGGATTACTGCTGCGCACCCATGCCGTACCTTATAGGGGTTCATTCTTCACTTATGCAGGTAATTTCTTTCTGAAAAAGTTGCACATGGTACATACAGTGTCAGTATTATATAACAGGAGTAATAATCTATGTGAAATAGTGCTATATGAACATTGATTATTGTGTTTGTTATGGTTGTTAATGATATTATTGATTATTTTGTAGTTATCTTTATAATAATTATTAATGGAGGGCGGCGGTTGCCGCAGTGATTGCTGCTCAGGTTTAGATACTTCAGCTTGCATTGTGGACAGACTGTAAAAAAAGGGTTCACGCCTCGCTTTTTTTGGTCATACAAGATCTTGCTGTAGGGTTAAACATTTGTCCTGCATACAATAACAAAAATGTAATGTTTATATCATTATTATTATTGTTAGTGATTTGGTTGTAGTTTTTATTATTTGTTGTTATTATTATGAAGATATTATAAATCTGATGAACGTCACAATTTAATAAACCACATTGGTGCATTCTCTTTACGCTTGCAGAAGGTTAAGAAAATGCCGCTGGATGAAGTACTTGTGCTTGACGCAGACATTAATGATTTTGAGAGTCCATACAATGATTTAGAGAAACTTTCATCAGATGTTGTGAGTAAAAAAAACGAACATAATTAATTTACCAAGAAAAAACAACTTGTACTGGTTGTTGGTGTTTGGCTTCCAATTCCTTGGCCATTGGTTCAAAGTACTGTACAATGTTTCTCAACCAAAAAAAACTCTGTCTGAAAATGAAATTTTATTTATGAGAATTGAAAAAAATTTAAATCTTTTTTGTTGACTTTTATCTTTTGAAACTCTAGCCTGTTCATCATAATCCAGTGAAATATGTCTATATAAGCATACATCTTTTTAAAATGCTTTAATATGTAAAATGCAGCTTATTCTGTAATTCCTAAATATTGTTGATAGTTATTTGACAGATCATTATGATTTTGAAACATGTTAATTAGTTTTTCATAATATTTGAATTAAAGGTGAATCAACTAAAGAAGAATCTTCGGAACAATGCGACTCAACTTGGAGATGGTATTGCACGCTCCTTTATGAAGGCTCTGGTGCCAATCATTGGTAACTACAGGGCAGCAATAAAGCAACAGGTAATGCAGTGTAACAATAGGTTATGTGTTTGCATCATAAGTACCATTACATTTTGTAAGTTCTTCTACTTTAAATAAAAAATTGTGTTTCTTGCAAATTTTATTACTACATACATTTTTTATCCTGTGTTAGTAATCACATAATAAATGATCAAGCTTTTGTGGTCTAATACCTACCAGTTTTAAACGTCGCTTATGACAGAGAATTCTACTCTCTTCAGATGAGATTTTTAAGTTGTTGATCCTGTTTACATAATGGTTCTTTGCACAAAGAATTTATAACATAGTCTGTCTCCTGATCTGAATTATACAAATGGTTTTCAAGCTTTTTTTATATATATATTTTTAGGATACCAGTAAATTTGAGTTTGAAGAAGAGTTATTTATCAAACACAGCCCAACTAACATGCACACCTTTCTGGAGACGCTGCTTCATTCTCAACACTTTCAAGAATTCATTGGGGACCGACTGAATGACTTAAATGCAAAGAGGGGTTATAACGACATATTTGAGGAAGAAATTCGTGCTGCTAGTACTGAAAAAGGTGAGTAAACTTAGTCATCATCTTTATTAATTATCATCATCATTATATTAATATTATTGCTTGTTATTATTATCTATATTATCCAGCTTATGATTTTGATAATTTTATATTTTTCTTATATTTATAGAGAAAAATAAAATGAAAGATGCGTTTTTAAATATGAAGACTGATAGTAGGGCATTGATAAATAAAGTGCAAAAGAAGGTAAGGATAATAAGAAGACAGTGATGGTGGCATAAGTGATAGTTGAGGTGGCATTTATGATAGTGATGGCAACATTTCTGATTATGGCAATGGTGGCAAATGATGGTGGTGACGGCAGTGATGATGATAATGCTGGTAACAGCAGTGATGATAGTGGTAACGGCAGTTTGCAGGATGGTCATGGTGGCGTATGCAGTGATGATGGGTGTGGTATGCCATATTTGATAGTGTTAATAATAATGATGATAATGATGATGATTAAGACAATAATGGTGATAGTGGTGATGCGATGATTATGTAAATGTGTGGGTATTATAATGATGTTAGATTAAATTATAGTGATGATTATGACAATGGTGTTGGTGATGATGATGGTGGTGTTATGATAATGACAGTGATGATGACGACCTGTGTTCTGGTGGTGATGTGTCTGGATAAAAGTGATAATGGTAGAGATCATATTATTAAGGATGATGATTACATGTACTACTGTATGAATCACAAAGCATGATATTGATAATGTGTAAAATGCTATAGCATCAGTATATCAAAATTGTATCATTATATCAAAATGATATGCTTAAATATTAAATATTGAGGAATTACATATTGTCTTTAACAAAAATAAAATCATATTTCTGTAATTGTGCTCTTTCGATTGATATGTTACTGGTATCTTGCAGGTCCATGCTCTGTTTAAACTGCATGATTTGTTTTCTTGTCAGAAATATTTAATCACATATTTAAAGCTAAAATAACTAAATATTTGAAGCTGTACTCCCTCCAGAATGCAGTTGTAGTTTGCAGTACGAAACTCAGAGCTATGACTTTAGGTCTTGCAAAAAAGCCATGTTGTAATGACTAAAACCTTGTTACTAACAACTCGCTATATGTTTTGCATGTGGAATGTGTACCATAAGGAGTGTGAAGTCGTCTTACTTAGCTGTGCTAAGCCATGTCGCATGTTTACTAAACAGTTAAATATGACTGCATTGGTTTTTCTTTTGTTTTGCATTATTTGTTTTGTTTGCCTGTTGCATGTCTCTTGTTTGCTTTGCTATAGCAGTATTGTATTTCTATAGATATATATATATATTTCCCCCCAGATTTCCTCAAATCATAGCGTAAAGGGTAACAGGGTATGTAGAGTAGACGCCAAACCTTTTGAAAAGCTTTTTGGTGGTTTTTTTTTTCTTTTTATAAACTCATCTACCTTTATGCACCTTCTTGATGTTTTGTTCTCTTTCACATTTTTCTTTGCTGCAGACATTAAGTTGTTTTCCTCTAATAACTGTATGTTTAATGTACATTCTTTCAATATCTCATTTTTTCATTCTCTTTCAATTTTATCCTTGTATCACCTTCAATCAGGCAAATCCTGCAATGAAGCATATGGTTCAGCAGGTAATCAACTTTGACCTGTTTTCTAGCTTTTGACATATGATAAGAAACTTTGACTTTATACATTTATATATATATAATGAGCCTGATATTAAGACATATTTTTTTTATTTATGTATTTTGAGGTCCACTAAAATATTTAATTTAAGTTTTTTTTTAATTATCAACTTCAAAATTATATATGGATACCATCTTTGCACCTTTGTCTTCTTACCGAAAATTTTTAGATCAGACTGCTTATACACCCAGTTCAGTTAAACAAATGTTAGTGTTTTCACAAGATTTTTAGGTACAAAACAGGATTAAATTAAGTGTATATTTTTCATAAATTTCGAAGTGTTTGTATTTGTTTCATAATTTCATATGTGATAAATGAATCCTGGCACCACAAATCACGGCTTTTATACATCACACTGTAGTTTAATAGTACTGTATATTGTCTCATCACATCATTATAATGTACAACAGTTCACTGGTAATATTCAGTAGTTACATTTCATTGCTCATAAATAGTCACCATTGTGTTATACCCATTAATGTGCCTGTTTAAAGGTGTGTAACTAATACAAACACTTTTATCACTTTATTAATTACTTTAGACAAAGGACTTTGCAAAAACAGGTGTGAAAGAATTCAAAGGCATGAAGACTAAGCTCATTAAATCAAAGGTAATTTGTTTCAAATTAATTTTATAATTATATATATAATGCATATTAAAATACATGACTAATAATAGATCCCCCTTTAATTATTAATGGACCAATTGTTTGTGTTCTTCAGATAACTAGATTTAATTGCCAGCTACCAGAAATAAAACTACTCAATTATTTTTAGGACATTTATATTTGGAAAATATAAAAGATAGTGTTGTTGATCTGTGAATTGTGGCACTATTTGAATTTATTTAAAAGTTTAAAAAAATCTCATAAATGGAATTATTTTTAATAAACAATATGTGTTATTAAACAGTTTTCATTGAAAGGATCAATTTCTAAGTGCAAAAGTGTGTCACATTTGGTAAGGATTTGAGCCAACTTGTTGTTTTTCTGCTAAATTTAATAATTTTTCATTATTGTATGGTCAATGGTACCTTTTTGGTTTTGGGAATTATCCATTTATAAAACATTAACTTTGCAGAACTTGTATATATATTTTGTTTAAATATTTGTAATACATTTATTAAGTAATCACTGGGTAATAAAATTTTGATGGTTGAGGAAATTTATTTTCCCCTCCCCCATTTATTCCTATTACTGTATTAACCTTTTCACTTTTTGTGCATTTTAAGTGTATAACAATTTCAAATTTGAAGATAAAGATTGTTGAATTACTTGGTTCATTAAACAAATTCAATACTGATTTTGCAATTGCATGATGATAAAATCAGTGGGTTTAAAATTTTATGAAATCATGAAATGTGTACTATAATACATCTCATGAATTAGTGTATATCTCATGTAATAGATAAATCTCAACGAATCAGTTCATCTCATGACATGTATTTTACAATATACTGTAGATAAATATAATTCCTGAGATAGGAGCATCCCATGAGATATATGTCTTGTGATAGTTAAATCTCATGAGACAGGGACATCTTGTGATATGTATCTCTTATGATAGATAAATCTCATGAGAAATGGAACATCTTGTGATATGTATCTCTCATGATAGATAACTCTCATGAGATAAGAACATCTTGTGATATGCATCTCTCATGATAAATAAATCTCATGAGATAGGAACATCTTGTGATATGTGTATCTCATGATAGATAAATCTCATGAGATAGGAACATCCCATGTCTGAGATTTATCTCTCATGATAGGTAAATCTTATGAGATATGGTAAGGAAGGTGAAATTTTATTCATCCATGACATGGCAATTAAAAGTAGCTCGCTTGATTACAAATACATTAAATTAAAAAAAAAACATTTTATAACATTTCATACAAAAATTCATTAAAATATTAAAATTGCATACAAATTCACAAAAAAAGTACATTTCATAAATACATTTCATGTCATTTAAAAAGAAATTTCATTTCATAAACACATTTCATGAAAAAATGCATTTAAAATATTAAAAGTACATATATATTTACATAAAAAATCAATTATTGTTTAAAATGTGAATTGTGATATTTAATAACCCAAGGAATGATGATGGTTCGTGACAGCAGGCGGTGGCCTACCACTTCGTTGTACAGTTGAACTTGTCTAAAGTTGAATCCAAAATGGCATTGAAAAATTGTTTGACTTAGATAAAATTTGACTTACAGATCGTTAATTAATGGAAAACATAACAATTTGGTATGTAAAATAAGGTCAACTTCGAAATTATTCGAGTTAGACAAAGTCAACTTAGGCAAGTTTAAATGTAATATATGATCAACTAATTCACTATGGAGGGGATGACTAATGTCATTCATCACAGTGCTATATTTAGTAGCTAATCAACTAAGTCCACTGACTGCTGGCTCCTATAATCCTCTCATCTCTTACAAAACTGATCTATCCCGTTGCAATATATTCCCATCCCAGCCAATCAGACAGTAATTCCATACCCCACATATTACAGACATGTAAACAATAGAAATAATTTCATAATGCACATTAAAATGTTTCGGCTTCCGGGAGAAGTACATTCTGGAATTAAATTTTCTCATAAAATCCACATATCAGCCCATGAAAGTCTATTGTCTAAAACTCTTGAATATTTAAAATTAGATAACTGTTCAACAGCAGTGTTTCCTATTACAGTAGTTCCAATTCTTTCTTGTTTTTAAAAAAATCAGTTGTCATTTTTTTTCACAATACAGTACTGAATAAAATTATCAATCTCAGTATAATACTGGGTATCATTATCGGTTTTTTTTAAAGACCTAACATCATGGTGTCGTCTGCAAATTTAACAATTGGACAGGACTTGCAGGAAGATCGACAATGTGCTGTATAGAGTGTGATTTAGAACGGAGCTAGAACCGTGCCATGGGGTGCAAGTGTATTAGTAACAATGACGTCAGATTGTGCAAATTTGTTTAGGTGTACTGATACATATTGCAAACTATCAGTTAAAAAGTTACAAAGGCAATCAATGGATGGAATATTTATTCCAACAAACTTTAAATTATAAGATTAGGTTGGATCATGTTAAATGGTGATGAAAAATCAAGAAAAATGATACGAACTAAGTTACCCTGCCGTGTGTATTCTAAGTGAGAATATATTTTCTCAAGTGAAAATAATATAGGATCATCATTCAGTGCTACAGTTACTTTCATACTTAAACTGTAAAGGATCCATATGATTCCATACTAGAAGTTTCAAAACTTCCAATACAATTTTCTCACATACCTTCTATGCTACTGAAGTTAAAGCTACGGTCTTAGGTCATTCTAAAGCTCTATCTACAGTATCGAATTTTGTGTGACAAAAAAGTGTGATATGCCCATATACTGTATGGGCATGATGACATCATACCATGACCATATATAGGCATAGCATTACTATATATGGGCATGTCACATTTTTTTGTCAAAGAAAATTTGATAGTGTGGATAGAACTTTACTTTGAATTCAATGTTTTTTATGTACAGGTACAGTCCATGATTTCTTCCAAATGTCTGGTAATAATTTGTTCTTGAAGCATATATTAAAAATACAAATAAAAAAATTTGATAACTCACTGGCAAATAATTTTAACACCTAAGCTGATAGCTTTTCTGGTCCAGCTGCCTTGTTTGAGTGCTATTTTATAAAATATTTCCTAACAATATCATTGATTTTACGGATGTTAAATTCCATTTCCTCTGAGTCTAATGAACTACTAATAATGTTTTCTCTTCTGTAAAATTGTATCTATCAAATCTATTAAAGAAATAAATGGTGTTGGCATATTCAGTAGACTCATTTGGTGATCTACAATTTTTTAGTTTACCATTTGAAAAACAACCTATTAACTGCATACCATGCTACACCCATTTAATACAGTATTATTTTTCTGTAAAATTATTTTGTTTTTATGAACTTCTTTACCTTTACATATTTCAGATTTGAGCTCGCTCTTCATTCATTCCAATTGTTGTTTATTTCCATTTTTAAAGCTTTCTTTTTTATTATCATTTTTACACTTTTAGTAATTCACAGTTTTTTTATTTGCATATATACTTAATTAAATATATCTCGAGATTCTGTAGATACATCTCATTAACTGTATCTGTCTCATGGGATGCATCCAATAGAATATCTCAATATATATTTCATGTCGTATATCATCAAACAATTATTTTCTTCAATGGCTGGTTACTACATTAAGTGCGTCCTTTTTATCTTCAAATATAAGTCTGGGTTATTAGTTTTTTTGTATCATTTACAGTATGATTACTTATGATATTATGATAATATTGTACATTTCAAGAGGCTATATCCTACATTTATTCATTCAAAAGATAATTCACATTAGTGGTGAATTTGCCAACAGGGAGTCCGAACCAAAGTGCCGACTGAAGCCTTGGCCAGGGGTGACGGCAAATGGGGGTACAGTGTTCCCAACAGGGGCTACGATGTTCCCAACAGGGGCGCCAATGTTCCCAACAGGGGCGCCAATGACCCTGATGAGAGAAAAATGGGTGTGACCGGGCGTTGCTCAATATATTTCCAAAGTGGTCTAGGAGGCAAAGCTCAAAGAAATGACAATTTAGGGGTTTAAAAGGCTTATTTAATCAATAATCAATTTTAGAGTCTACTGATATGTATAAAATACATATAATTTTTTTTTAAGTAGAGAAGAATATAAAATAGGATGATATATAAATTAAATAAAATACCTACCTACTAATGAATGCAAGGGATTGAAAATGAGAAATGAAGCAAAAATTGTAAAAGGGGCTAATTCAGAGAAAAATCTGGTTAAAGGCAATTTGCTGTGCCACACACAAAGCCCACGATTTTACGATATGACTGTAGATAATGTATATGACTGTATATAATATTCTTTTTGTGTAGGATGATTTAGACACAGGACATTCTATTCAACATCTCAAGATATCGGGGCCTATTCCCACAAGGCGGAGTAACCCAAGTTCACCGTCCTCAAGTCCAAATTTAAGAAGGGTAAGGCAATAAGTAACAGTTACTTTTATTATTAACTTTAAAGATGTACTGTCTGTCATGAGCTAAAAAATAAAATTAAAAATTCAATTCAGTGCAACTGAGGAAGAACTTTAGAAGGGTATGTAAATGGAATAATTAATTCTTTTTTATTAAACCAAGAAATATGCATAAGAAGCAGATGAATGTTTTTGTGCTTTCAGAAGAGTACGTTCAAAAGATATGAACATAAAATATATCAGTATTTTTTTGCGAGTCAGATGGACAGGGTCGCTGCAACATACAGCCATAATTTCAGCGCAGGTTTGAGCGACATGCTCTTTTGTGGTTCCTGTCATGGATAAAGATTATAAACCATAGGCCCAGTGGACACAATTTGGTGCATGTACAATTTAAAGATACCAGTACATATCTCAAGACGAGTAGGGGGTTACCCCAGTGTACTGGCTCATTAGCTCAGACACAAAGAGACCAAGTTATTGTATGAGCTAGTCCACACTTTGAGCAATTTGATACTTCGGTATAAAGCGATATATAAGGCGAACTACATTACATTTTCATGTTTTCTTTTGATATGATTGTGGTATTACTTTCAACATACTCCAATTCGCATATTACAAATGCTTTGTTGTAACATAGGATTTTATTTTGATTGTAATTTGCAGACTCTGAAGCCCACCTTTGTAGCAGGAACGAACTCACAACGTCCAAGAACGGTGGCCATTACACCCAAAGATGTGATGCATAAAACTAATGCTAGCGATAAGTATGTACAATTATTTATTTATATTATTTTTTTTGGTTTTGAAGAAGAGTGAATTACCGCAAAGTCAGAATTCTTTGCAACTCCTGCTGTTACTGTACTCCTTGCAATGATCACAAGTCATGTCCATGTTTCTTCAAATGGACACTATCAGCACTTCCTCAATATGCCATCTTCCTTCTCCATGATTTGCCACTGCTCTTTTTAATACTCCATTTATACTCCACTTATTTCCTTCTAGAATCAGATCTTATAGACCAATTGAGTTCCATGACGGATTTGATGATATCCTGGGCAAAGACACACTGTTTAGTAATAAAGAGTTAAACTCAATACTCAAGAAGTTGGATAAAGATAGTACAGACTCAAGCTCCGAAAGCTCATATGCAGATGTAAGTCCATTCTCATTTTACATCTGTTTTTGTAGTGAAACTCGAACAAAAAACTGTAAACATTTTTTAAGTATAAGCAAAGAACTTGATATATGGCATTAGACACACCCTCTCGCTGGGAGCCTATTTTTTTATTTACCACAGGTGAAATAAAAATATATATATTTATACTCTTTAATGCATTTTTCTTAATTTTCTATATAGGATGAAAAGAAACCAACTGAGGTCCCGATCCCAATGCCTAGAAAGAAAAAAATAAATTCATTTAATCAACAAGGACCTGGTAGCAACACCTCAAACGAATCACTAAAACCTGGCACATTACTTCAACAAAGCATGCTAGCATCTCAGCCCCCTACTGCACCTCCCCGCAGGCCAAAAAAAGCCACAAATGGTAGCATACCTACAAGAAGCCTATCTTCCAATTTTGTTCAATCAAACACTAACAAAAACGCTTGCACTTCTGATTCGTTGATTGATATATCTGATTGGAACTCATTGGATCCAGTTTCAAAAGAAATCACTCTACGTACGTCCAGGTCCGCGGAAAAATTGACAGCATTTGCTGACAACTTTACTGACTATAACTATACTGATGTCCAGGGATCAGAGACTGGAGTGTGCAACACATCTACAGAAAACATGCTTCTTGAAATATTCAGTGAGGCTTCTAAAACTGCACAGTTAGAACCACCAGTGAGGCAAATGCGAACAAACAACAGTAGTCCAAACTTGAATACGTACAGTGCCCCACCAGTCCAGACAAATCCGTTTGCACTTAACGTTCCTCCGTCACCTCAGATAAACTTTACTGGAATTCATGAGCAGCATTCTCCAAATACAATGAGTTCGTTTCATCAACAGTACCCCTGTCAAACATCGGGTACCACTTTGTTGTCGCTAGCGGGCGGCCAAACAAACTCTGGCAAAAGGAATTCAAACCCATTTCAAACTTCACCAACCACAAAACAGTCAGATCCATTTGAGGATTTAGTATCTATACAAAAAAGCTATGTTAGCTCTACTTGTGGGAAGTCCACATAATGTACGTAATATTGCAATACACTGTGTATTTTGTTGCTGTTTTACTGCACTGTACCTGAGCCACCATCCTGTCATCATGTATGATTGTCCATTTGTAAACGTCGGTTCTGTATTTCAATGCTGTAGTACTCATGATTTGAACTGTCAGCAGATATGTGTGATCCATAAAGTTAGGAATACTGAAGTGTTAACTATGAAAGACGGAGATGGATTGAATTTGTATCTGTGTGCAACAAGTGGTGTGAATTTGCACTATAGTATTCTTATTAGACCTCTATGGTTGTTTAAATAACCTAGTTTTCTGGTTATTGCCTCAAGTTTTGGATGTGTGGGAAAAGCACTAAGCGTGAGCCCTCTGTTGTTATTATACTAATTAGGATTGTGTGCAATGCTCAGTAAAGCAAATAAATATATCAATTGAACTAATAACCACGTTTTAGAATGAATCCCTTTCAACAAAGCTTTCTCCAGCAGTGGTTACAACAACAAAATAAACCAGCAGTATCTTTCTATGTATGTTAATATCCAATATAAATCAAACATAGAGAGAATACAATATATAGATGATGTATATATATATATATATGTGGAAAAACAGTATTCCATTAGTTTAAATATTAAATTCATTTTGATTGTTTATTATTTTATTCTTCGGTCCATTGCATTAGTATATGATATTTATAAAGGACGAGAAATTATTTTCCAAATCTCTATTTAAATTTTTCATTTGATTAGGCCTGTGTCTGGAATTAGTTATATGGAGCTATTATTTAACATACATGGTCATATTATATAATTATAAATGTTTAAAGAAGTAAATATAATTATTTATGTGTTAAGTATAAGAATCGCCCCAAACAGTATCTGATTTTGTGACATCATATAATATGATATTTGCTGTGACACTTTAAAACCCAAGAATAAAAGAAGCAATCAGTATATTTGAAGGTTGAAAATAGTATTTGTGGTACAGTGCTCATTATTGCATCATAAGTTCAAATGTTGCAGATTCTAGGAGTTTTTCTATTCCACTTCCAAAAACTTATGAGAAATTCTTTAACACATATAGATGTGTAGTAATAATGTGTTATACATGTCTAAGCAAGGTGAGTTTCAAGCCAGACACGCCATCAGATGTTTGTTTAGCTCTGTCCACACTATGAAATTTTATGTTACAAAAATATGTGATATGCCCATATTTGGGTGTCATATGCCTATATTTGGGTGTAATATGACATCGTCATGCCCATATATAGGCATATCACACAAATTTGTCATAAAATTATAGTGTGGGCAGAGCTTTAGTCTCAACAGACAATGTTTGATCAGATTATCACATTTTGTCTGTCAGATTTAGCAGACACCACACTCGAGAATGTTAGACTAGACTTGATGAAGTTTGGTTGTGTTATAGCTATCCTGGGCTCCTTGTTCGGATTACACAGTGAATACTATGCTCAGTGAACGCCATACATAAACTTTACTGGTGTTTTGGTATTTTTTTTTGGTGGGGGGGGGAGTGGGGAATTCTACTCGTTATCTCTTAAATTGAATCGATCATTGGTGCCACTGTTCAGAAATTGGAAAAACAAAACTGTGATTTTAAATACAAACTTGTTAGATTTTCACTTGTGTGTTCTTTGTGCCATGGAATTGTATTGACTATTCAGTATTCACCCACAATACACATCTATATACATATAGGTGGTTTAGGTCTATTATATACATATATGTATATATATATGTATTTTCATTCTTTTTTATTCTGGAATCAATAATATAT